CCCTTCCTCCCCCCCTTTTCCTTTCCCCCGTTAAAATTTTAGTTTCGATTGGAAATTAAAATTTTTTTTTTTTTTTTTTTTTTTTTTTGAAACAGAAACAACAGTAACGAAAAAAAAACAAAATGGAGAAAACTGACCAGGCTAAATCCTAACATCGTCCTTTTGCCCCCCGTCCTAACATCGCTCCCCTCCATCCCCCCCCCCGTCAAATAAGCGCCATAATATTAATGTTTATGTGTGCTTGGTAACTTGATAAGCCTGAATAAGTTGTCCAACGAAGACATTTTTTTTTTTTTTTTTTTTACGACCGATCCAGTATTCCGGATGATTCTGTAAGGGCAACTAACCGGATATACCCACCATACTTAAAAAAAAAAAAAAAGTTACCGACGACTAATACTTTTTTTTTATTATCATGAAATGAAAACGTTTAAAAAAAAAAAAAACCTGTTGGTCGATGGCTCGCTCAGCCGGATACCTTTTTTTTTTTTACGTACCAAATGGAATGTCGTACCTTAAAATATTCCGTATAAAAATAATTTTTTTTTTTAAAATAAAAAATTGTAAATTATTTTAAATATAGGTACAACATTTATCAATTTAATATTTGACACAATAAAAAAAAAAAAAGGTAATTGATAAATTAGTAAAAAAAAAAAAAAACGAAAAAACGAAATCCTAACGAGGAGTACATATGTAATAGAGAGAGGGAGTGATAGAAAGAGATGAAATGAGAGAGAGAGAGAGAAAGAGACAGAGAAATCACAGGTACGTGCACGGAGAGAAGTAAAAAAAAAAAAAAAAAAAAAAAAAACTCGTTTCGTGTTGTCAGGGTTTTGGTAATGGCTATTGAAATTGTAATATGATGGGAATTCCCACTGTAAAGACAGATCCGGAGAGAGAGAAAGAAAGAGAGAGAACGAGAGAGAGAGAGAGAGAGAAGGCGGACCTAAGTGAAGTTGTCGGGTTTTGCCGAAGAAACCATTTAATACTTAATGAGTGATGATTCGGCGTACCTGTCTATAGTACCAACAGTGTCAGTTTAAGTTCTCGCGTCGACAAAGTCGGTTGTGTTTTTTTTAATAAAAAAATAAATTATTTACTTTAAATAAAACTTATAAATAAATAAAAATAATAATAATAATAATAATAACGAAAATGTTAACCGTATATGTGATGGCAACGTGTCTTCTTTTCATTCCGACCATTCACGGATCGGCCATTCCCATGTGGGAATATTTATCAAGAGGAGAAAAGGTTTGTTTGTTATCTTATAAATTTTTTCTTATGTTGGCATCATCGATATGGCAGCCAACCCTGTCATCATTATTATTATTATTATTTATTTTATTAATAATAATAATAATAGTGTAATCGTAAATAAACTATTATGATTTCAATCGATGGTTAACATTATTTTGAATCTTAATGACTATTCATTCGTATTTTTATCTCTCTCTCTCTCTCTCTTTCTCTTTCTCGTTCAATCTATCTCTTTCTAACTTTCTAAAATCCTAGCAGGACGAACAACGATCGCGAAAAATAATAAATTTTTTTTTTTTTTAAATTTCACTTTTTTTTTTTTTTATTATTTTTCACGGGTAAATCTCGTTCATGACAGATTTTTTTTCTCTTTCTTTCATTCGTTCCCCCCTCATCCCTCACCCACCCCCGTCTCTCTCTCTCTCTCTCTCTCTCTCTCTCTCCTCATTTTTTCCCCGAGTTCGGTTTATTATTAAATGATGCAAAACCAACGAAAACAAACAAACAAACAAACAACAGAATTCGATTTTAACTACTTGTTTGTTTTGTCGATTTTTTTTTTATGGGTATATATATATATATATATAGAAAATTTAAGGTTAGGTGAAATCATAAAATCTCACGCTCTGCCTACGACTCACTTTCTCGTTTTTTTTTTTTTTTTTGTTACTATTCGCATCACGAATTTTTTTTTTTAAATTTAAAATAAAATAAAAATGACGACAAATTTCATACGGGTATCGAGTAATTACTCGGTAATAATAAAATTTTTGGAACGATTAAGAAACGGTTGAGATTTCGAAAAAATATCGCACACACACACACACACACATTTTCCACGTGTTTGTATTTGATAACGAAACGAAACGAAAAAATTTGAAATGTTTGCCGTTTGTAATTTCGATAACGTTTGTTTAACGGTAAAAAATATTAGTAAACGAAAAGAGAAAAAAAGAGGAAAAATTCGTCTGTCAAATTTCATCATCATCATCATCATTCAGACATTGAATTTTTAAACTTCCCGCCTTTTCTTTATAACTTTATCATTATTATTATTATTATTCGATTCAAATAATTAATTTCAATATAAGGATTTCCTAGTATGGGTTTTATTTTTCATTTTTTTTCAATTTCCTCACGTACTTTTATTATTATTATTATTATTATTATTATTATTTCTTCACTCATTCTTTAAACCTAATATTGACCGTGACCAATTGTTGTAACGTTATCCTTTCATAAAAAAAAAAAAAAAAAAAATTCTTTTTCCTTTTTCCTTTTATTTCTTTCATTGTACGAAATGTTACATCATCATCATCATCATCATCATAGTGTAGATTTTCACTTTTGGTGAAAGTACATGCAAAAAAAAAAAACCGCTTCCAGTGGAAAAATATATAAGTGAAAAACGAGAGAGAGAGAGAGAGAGAGAGAGACGTGAAAAGAAAAATAAACGGAAATTTTTACTCTTTCTCTCTTTCTCTCTCTCTCTCTCTCTTGTAAATAAAAACGAGAAATGTGGCAAATTCAATTCAACGATCGAGTTAAATTTTTTTTACGACGAGTTTTGCAACTTTAAAAAAAAAAAAAAAAAAAAACTAATTAAAAAATTATCAATCGATAAAATCGATACTACTCAGTAATTGCCTGAAAAAAATTTCGAAAAGCTACAAAGAAGAAGATAGAAAAAAAAAAAAAAAAAAAAAGCTGTAACGACAAATAACAAAACCTGTAAATCCTCTCACGGAAATTTTCCCCCAACTATTATTATTATTATTATTATTTGTGAAGACAATGACAAAGTAAACCGCGTACCTTATAATTTTTAAATAGAAAAAAAAAGAAATAATTATTATCATTATCATTTTCCTACATGGATACGTAAAATTCTGTCCAAAACAAATACCAAAAAGAAAAATTTTTCTCAAATTCGACTGACTCCCCCCGTCACGTGGTACTCAATTTTAAAATAAATCGAAAAGAAATAATAATAATAATAATGACGTGTTAATGATTTTTTTTTTTTTTTCGCATAGAGAAAATAAAACCGTGAACTCATCAAAGGTAATTAAAAAAAAAAATGAAAAACACGTAAGAATTTTTTATTATTTAAGGTCAATGCAGTCAACAGACCGTTAGTTGTTTTATTAATTAAGGTTCAGTTTAAAGTATAAAAAGTAGTCAATGTTATAAACACCAAATTTTAAATTATTTCAAATAAATAATTATTATTATTATTATTATTAAAATTATTTAAATGATGATGATGATGATGATGGTGATGGTCGTAAGTAATGAACGTAGCAGTCGTTAATTTTAAATTTTTTTAAATTTATTTTTTTCGAATAGATGAGCCATTTGTTCAGTCTTTTCGTTCAACAAGTTGAAAAACATTGCGCGACAAGGCCAGAACCTGATTGCAGTAAATTACTTTTGGTATACGGTTTGACTAATTTGGCAAAAATGGAAGATGAAAGTTTAGACGACATGGATCCGTATCAAAGAGGAGCCAACGAAATAGGTGAGTGAGAAACAGAACGCAGTCAGCGTTACTACACGTTTTTTTTTTTTTTTTCTTTTCTGCTTCTCCCACGTTTCCGGTTTACGCTCTATGTCCTAATCCCTCCCCCCCTTCCCTCCCCGAGCCGAACACCCACCCGTAATCCTCCTTTTTTTTTTTTTTTAATAATTTAACAAGTCATGAAAATGATCGATTGGTTTTTGTTTTCATTTATTAAATGGTAAAATAAATAACCGTAAATGATTATTAAGGTACGTCACAATACCCCCTACCTACCCCTTCCCCTCCTCACGCGTAAGAGAATAACAACTACTTTCATTTTTAAACGAGAGGAGGAGTAGGAGGAGGAGGTGGGAAAATCGTGGGAGAAGAAGTTTGTTAGGTAGGAAAACGTGTGTGGAAACTAAAAAAATTCAATGAAAAGTATCCTTGTTTTAACCTCATCAAAAAAAAAAACTCTTCGTAAGCCATTCTAAAAGTACGCACGCACTCACGCACTCACGCACTTATAATTAGACCATCATCGTCCTACATCATAAATTTCAACCTCCAAACTCTCGTGTTAGACAAAAAAAAAAATCCGCTACGTGCGTAAATCACGTGATTCTTATTATGAACGCGAACGATTAAAAAAAAAAAAAAAAAATTTTTTTTTTCTTTTTTTTCTTTTATTCCAAAACCTTTGATATTTTATTCTAAAGTAATAAATAAAAAAAAAAAAATAAAGACAAACAAACAGAAAAAAAAATTACGGTATAAATAATAATAATAATAATAATAATAATAATAATAATAATAATAATAATAATAATAATAATAATAATAATAATTAAAAGGTCTAAACGTGTAGAAAGGAAAAAAAAACGCGCGCGTAACTAATTAATCTTATAATATTCGAATATTTTTTGTCGTAATAAATAAAAATGATTAGTAGATGAGTAATAGAAGGCGGTGGAAAAAAAACCTTGTTAATCTCAGGTGTTGGAGATCATCTCGATCACATCAGGTAAAATTAAATCGTCGTTTTTTTTTTAACGTGCGAACGTGCGTGTAACAAGAGAGAGAGAGAGAGATATGTGTTTATCTTAAGGTATACAACACCTTCGATTGACCTGAGGTGAAAAAAAAAAAAAATTGTTCAGACACACGACCTCCTTGAAATTTTTTTTTTTTTTTCTTTTCTTTCCATCGCTTACAAACACGTGAGTTTTTCTGTTTTTTTTTTTTTTTTTTAAGGTTTACTCAAAACATGCATTTATAAAACAGGTTTTGGTCAGGGACGAAAATGTCAATCTTAATGTCTAAGGTTCCTTTTTTTTTTTTTTTATGTTGTTCACATGTGCGAGTTTTTTTTATTAACCGTTTTCATGACGCCCTTGAAATTTTATTTTGACCCTTCTCGCGTTTGTAATGAAAATAATAATAATGATGATTATGATGAGGATAAAAACGATTTTTAATAATAATTATCAATACAACGTAATCGTCATTATTATTATTATTATTATAATGGCAACAGCATCCGTATCGTTTGAAAATGTCAATTGTTATATCAACAACAAACGCGTTTGTTGAAAAAAAAAAAATTATTATGGCGTTTCGCGTCGCAATTAAATTAGTGGGGGGGGAGGTAGGGGACCCAAACGAAATCGCAACCCTGATTTTACAGAGTTCATTGCCATCAACTCGACATTTTTTTTTTTTTTTTAATGAAAAAAAAAATTTTTTCTTTACTCACTCGGTGATGAATTTTTTCCTTTGTTGTTTTGATTTGTTCACGTTTTTCGCAGTTTTATCCACCAACCGGAAATCGCCTGAAAAATAAATATAATTATTATTATTATTATTGTTGTTGTTTTTTCGTTGTCAAAGGTTGAAATCGATTATATTACATCGTAAAATTGTTTCAAATAAAAAAAACGCGGCGTTTCTTATTTAATTTTCTACCTTTTTGTATCCGCCACATATAAATTCTCTCATTATAATCATATTTAAATCTTGTCGTTTTTTTGACATTTAAAAAATGTTTGAGAATTGTGTTAACCGCCGCCATTTTATACATAAATACATCGAAAAGTCATCGTTTAATAAAATAATAATAATAATAGCAGTCGTAATAATGATAATAATAAAATTTATTTAACAATGGGAAGGAAAAAGCAAAAAAAAAAAAAACGTATAAATTTTGCATTTATAAACTAACATTACTCGTTTTATTATTATTATTATCATTATTATTAAAAAAAGCCTTTTTTCAACCTTGTTTTTTTTTTTTTTAAAGTTATTTGACAGTTGAATGTATCGTTTTATTATTATTATTATTATTATTATTATTATTATTATTATTATTATTATTATTATTATTATTATTATTATTATTTGTTTAAAAATAAATGCAAAAAAAAAACAATTTTAAAATGCATATCGAATCGAATCGAATGAACCGTTGTTGTTGTTGTTGTTGTTTGTTTGTTTGGGTAGAAAACAAAACAAAACGAATTCGTACGAAATAACACGATGAAAACAAATCGAACCAAGGATAACGGGGTAAATGACGACGACGACAAGCAGACGACAAAATAAAACAAAACAAAAACAAAAACAAAATAATCCGCGTAATTGATGACACTCGTTAAAACGTCAGGCGCTCTCACATTTTGCATACACGTTTATTCTTCTTCCCCGACTTTTTGCTCTTTTTATCCCCCTCCCTCTTCCCCTACCTCACCCTCCTCCATCCTTAATAATTTACCTTATATTCCACATTTGTGTAATTTTTTTTTTTTTAATAATATTAATTAGCTCATAAAAATTTATTTGCGCACGAATTCAAGGATTTCTTTATTTTATCCGATTCAAGTTCACCTTCGCCATATTATTTTCGTGATTTTTTTTTTTTTTTTTTTTTTTTTTTTAATATTTGATTCCAGCTTCGAAACTTTTTTTTTTTTCGTTGATGTTATTAGAAAAAAAAAAAAATTTAATTTATTATTATTATTATTATTATTATTATTAAATTTTTAGTGATTCGCAATGAGAAACAGAAAAAATAAAAAAGAAAATTTACAACTTTGATGATGATGATGATGATGATTTAAAATATTTTTATTTTTTTATTACGGGGAAAAAAAAAAAACTTAAATTTTTTTTTTTTTTTTACGAGATTCGAGTCTTGATTTTTTAAATTCGTTTTTATTTTCTACCCCTCCACCATCTTGAAAGAATATAAAAAGATTTGATGATAACTCGTTCACCTTTTATAAAAATTTCCAGGTACCTGTGATAAGAAATCACGGTACCAAAGTATACACACACGCACGCACACTCGATTCGTTATAATTAACGGAAGAGAATTTATAAATGTCGTCTGCTAAATAATCGAAGCAGTAGACGCAGTTATCAACAACAGCGCGTAAACGCAATCGTTAAAAAGCGTGGAATTAAAAAAAAAAAAAATTTTTTTTTTCCTTTTTTTTCTCGCCTCTCACGCTTTCGAGTTCTGACGTTTGTATTTTACAATGCAAATTTATGCACTAAATTATATGTACCTGAAATCGATTTCTAGAATTTTCGATTTAACGACAACAAAACCAGTTTACAAATTAAATATCGCAAAAAAAATGCGCGTTGTTTCGAAGCGAAAAAAAAAAATTCCTTATCATAAATTTTTCCAATCTCTCTCTCTCTCTCTCTTTCTTTCTCTCTCTCTCTCTCTCTCTCTCTCTCTCTCTCTCTCTCTCTCTCTCTCTCTCTCTCTCTCTATCTCTCTCTCTTCCTTGTAAATCTACCGATGTGAGTTTTACACGGGATGATAATTACGATTTTTGTTTGTTTGTTTTTTTATCGTGGCACCATCCACGACATTTTTAAAACTGTGACAAATTACTACGTTTTACCAACCGTTCATTGACACACATAAAATACATTCACGGATGTGCTTTGATGCATTTTCACATATTTGGATTTAAATTTCGAATAATTAATTACCGAATAAAAAAAAAAATGTTTTTGTCTTTCCCCCTACCCCTCCCCCTTCCCCTCCCTTTGTTTATCATCATCATTATTATTTTATAACGCGCCCGACAATTTTTCATTAAACCATAATAGAAAAACTTTAATTTTTATAACGTTACGAAATAATAATAGAAAAAAAAAACATGTCCGTTTAATGATTTTGCATCGTCGCCATCATCATCGTGGCGATTGTTCGTTGTTGTTGTTGTCGTAGCACATCAAATTTTAAACGTGGAATTAGATTATATTTATATGACAAAAAAATAATAATAATAATAATTTTTTAAAATAATTTAATACTCGTTAGCTAATATTTAAAAAATATGTTACGGGGTCGAAAAAACAATTTTTTTTTTGCCCGCGTTTTTTTTTTAAATTTACGTCGCATTTTAATGGCGGATGAATGCGTAATAATAATAATAATGACACGATCGTCGTTGTGACAACATATAAAATCACGATGTTTAAATTAAAAAATAATTTTTTTTTATAATTTTCGTCCTACTTTTTTTTTATTATTATTATTATTTTTCGTCGACATTTTGTTTGTTGTTGTCGTATATCGTTAAAAAATTCAACGTTTTAAGTTCAAAATTTAAAAAAAAAACGCGCGCGAAAGATTTTTACGTTTATTTAAAAAGTGAAATTCAAAACGGAAACTGTATTTGTAACGGTTTTTTTCAATAACGAAAACATTGGTTTGTAATAAATGGGAAGTAACCTAAAATCATCGGAAAAAAAAAAAATCTTTCTTATTATTCTTTTCATACATTCGTAAAAAACAATTAATCGTATATTCGTTAAAAAAAAAAAAAGAAACGTTTACATAACGGATATTATTAATAATTGTCTTCTGCTTTCCATATGTTATTTTACGCGGTAAATAAAAAGTTTAAATATTTAATTAACGCGGTGATGATGCACTTTTTTTTTTTTTTTTTTCAAAACCCATCCCTTAAAAAAACATGTACGCTTTTAATTCTTCCTGGGCGTTACGAATTAATTTTGATTGATTGATTGATTGATTGATTGATCGATTTGTATGAACTTGAACTGTATATCATTTGTTATAAAAAAAAAAGAGTAGAATACTACCGTCTTCCGCATTACGTTATTAACAAACCAATGCCGCCGAATTTGAACTTATTTGTGTCACTACTCGTGACACGATCGTAAAAACCAACAAATAATAATAATAATAATAATAATAATAATAATAATAATAATAATAATAATAATGATTAAATGACGATTAATTAAACTTTCTTTCTATGAATTTTTGAAAATGGGTTGATTGATTGATCGATCGATTGATTGATCGATCGATTGATTGATTGATTGATTTTTTTGACAATTATGGTCATGATTTTTCTTTAACCCCCGATTCGTATCGATTTCTTACAGTATACAATGATAATAATAATAATTAATCGTTTTGCATTCTTTTTATATGTAAAAAAAAAAAAAAAAAATTGGGTGTTTTCGGGCGAGTGTAATGTCAAAAAGTGAAATTTTTTTCTTTTTTTTCCCGCCAAAACCTAAAACAAAAACATTCGGCCTACGACCTACATAAAAAAAATAAGCGTGCAAGTGATTTTCACTTCCTCGATTCTTTTATTATTTTCACCAACCTCCGCATGTTCCCCCCCCCTCACAATTTTCTTTTTTTTTTTCCGAATGATATTCGGCAAGTTTATTTCCCTTCCAAAAACCAAACAAACAAACAAACAAACAAACATCACGAGAAATACAAACGACATTATAAATCGAACAACATTTTTTTTTTTTTTAAACAACCAAAAACATTTTTCGCAAGACGGTGCAAAGTGCAATATAAAGTTTCTACGAAATAATAATAATAATAATAATAATAATAATAATAAATTTCAGTATATATATATAATACTATATATAGTATATATATATGTAATTAAAAAAAAAAAAATTTATTTCCAGAAACCGAGAAATATTTAACACGTTCATAATCACTAACCGACTTAATAAGCAAAGACATGATGATGTTTAAGAAAAAATATTTAAAAAAAAAAAACAAGTTTCCCTGTTTTCATCCCGAAATAATTTTTATTTATACGTCCTTGATGTAAAAAATAGGGAATCGTAAAAATAAATAAATAAGTTAATTAATTATTATTCCCCGGCTTAAAAATATTATTAAAAAAAAAATTATGACGCCAAATCATAATGCGACTACGTGACGCGAACGAGTTTTTTTTTTATTTATTTATTAATTTATTAATTTATCATATTTAATTGGCTCATAATTTATACGTTAAAAAAATATTTATTTATTTACGTATGTATGTATCATTTATTTATTTATTTATTAAAAACTTTCACTTAATATGCGATTCGTAGGTCGTAAAGGATTAAAGTTATTTTTTATTTTTTCACGTTTAGTTAGAGACGAAATAAATCGAAGGTCCGGTTTTTTTTTTATTGTTTTTATTATTATTATTTATTTATTTATTTATTTTATTTATTTTTCCCCTTCCCTTATCTCTCTCGCGTTATTGATAAAAAGTCACGGTCGCGTTCGAAAGTTTCTCTCTCTCTCTCTCTGAATTATTTTTAAACCTTGACAATGATCTTCCAGAAAAGAAAATTTTTTTTTTCGAATCGTGATCGTACCTAACAAATAATAATAATAATAATAATAATAATAAAAGGACGACGTGTTATTTTTATCCGAAACAAAACAAAAAAAAATTGTTTTCTTCCGTAAATAAAAAAAATACGACGTTTCCGGTTTTTTTTTTTTTTATTAATTCTTTACTACAGGCTGAACGTACAGGTTTAACATTATTCAAGGTGTCGTTTTGTAGGTTTTATATCTTGTTATTAAAATGCTTTCCCTTCCTGTTCTTCAAAAAAAAAACGCGATGACGACGAATATTTTCAGTTCCGTTTGTTTTAAATAATAAAACAAAAGGACGAAAATAAATTTGTTAAAAAAAAAACATTCACGTTAGGTTTTAAACGGAAAAACCTTTTGAAATGTTTTTTTTTTTTTTTTTTTTTTTTTTTGATACGTAGGAACTTTGAAAAATGAAAACAAAAGAAATAAAAAAACCTTCGTTTTAATTTAAATAATAATAATAATAATGTCGAGAGTTTGACACGTTCGAGTATTAAAATTATTGATGAATGAAAAAACCTAAACAAAAAATTCGTATACCCACGCCATTTGTTTTTTTCGTACCTTAAAAATTGCGTAATTATAAGGCGTTGTTGTTGTTGTTGTTGTTTAAAATTTTCGCGAGATTTGTAATACTTAAGATTGTTTTTTTTTTTTTTTTTTTTTTTTTTGTTTTAACAGTTTGGGATTCGATGATGAAAGGAAGTTCGAAATACAGCAGAATACACGGATATGGTAAACCAACGACCGAAAGATACATTGGCTCGAGTTCAACGCCTAACGGTTTGGATACGTATAAAAATCCCGACGATTTAGAAGTTTCCGATCCGGGTTCTTTGGGTGCCGCAAGCAATTTAAACGTTGAAGAAACCGAACCACAATCGTTTCTTCTTGGTCCAATGGTCGTTCGAGTTCTTCCTAACGGAATGCCTATTCCGGGTGAGTTTTTAAAAGAAAAAATCTTTTTTTTTTTTTTTTTTTTTTTTCATTTTCTTTGTTTTTTCCCCGTTATCATTATTATTATTATTAATTCCCCCCCCCTTCCCTCTCTATTCATTTTCAGGAGAAAAAAATCAATTGCCTAAAGACGAAGATATCGAAGATTTTGCACCGGCTAAATATTGGACTTTTCCCGTTAACGAATTATCTCCACCGAACAAATTAGTCAGAGAAGAAGATGATTTGAAATCTCCCGTGGCCGCTTACGAGTATAAAACGACACACAATCCAAGATTTCGTCATCAAATTCAAAATTCCTACAGGATTAAATCGTCTACCGATATCGTTTCTACTTCCACGTCTTCGACCACCACCACCGCCACCCCCAATTCATTAAAACATTAAACGAACGTTATTTATTTACATGTCCCCCCCTTCCCCTCCCCATTCCCCATTTTGCAATACGAGCTTTGCCCCCATTTTCATTTGCTTGATCATCATAATTATTTATTCATATTATCATCATTATTTGTTATTACTATTATTATTATTATTATTTTTTAATTTATTGTAATTATTATTATTATATATATATTTTTTTTTTGAATATTTTTTCTCTTACGTGAGAAAAATAAGAAAAAACGTATAAAAAAAAAAAGTGTCCATTAATTAATTAATTAATTAATTAATTATTATTATTATTATTATTATCTAAAGGTAGTGAATAAGTGCAAAGCTCTTATGTTGCTTCCTGTGATGTACAAAATTATTTATACATATATAAATATATATATAAATAAAAATATTTATTAGTATTATTAATAAATAATATTTATTCGTATTATTTATTAACAACGTTAATTTAGTGTTATTCAGACTTTGTGTATATACATATATATAAAATTAAGGTTATAAATTTAAATATATTATTATTATTATTATTATTATAATTATTACTATTATTATTAATATATATAATAAACGTGTCTTGTATTTATTTATCCGAATATCCCGAATCCCGAAATAAATTACTATCCGAAAAAAAAAATAATAATAATAATAAAATTTTTTTTAAACGACGTCGAGAGAAGAGAGAGAGAGAGAGAGAGAGAGAGAGAGAGAGAGAGAGAGAGTAAACAAATTTTTTTTGTTATACTCGATGATGATGATAACGGTAATTTGTAATTACGTAATACCTATGTAATTATCTCATTACAGCGTTTGAAAACGATTCGCGATGTGAAAATCATATATATATTGATGGGTAATATGAAAACGTGACACACACACACACGTGGCATTGACATTAAAGGTAATAATAATAATAATAATAATAATAACGATGAGAGAAAAAAAAATATGTTAAAAATTTTAAAAATTCTTCATGAAAATTTTCAATATTATTAAACAATAAGTCAAAGAAAAGGTCAAGTTTAGTAATTGTTTTCTGACTCTAGTAATAAATAAAGTAATTTATTATTATTATTATTATTATTATTATTATTATTATTATTATTATTATTATTATTATTATTATTATTATTATTATATTGTCGATGTAAAAAGAAGGAAATCTTCTTTTTCTTTTGTTTTTGTTTTTTATGCGTTTACGTATTTATATGATTTATCATTTATTTATTAATGTATTATTAACGCCTTTGTCCCGTTGTTTTTATTATTATTATTATTATTAATGTTTTCCCGTTCCAAATCGATTCTACAAATTATTCAACATAAATATCGCGATTTTAGATATGGATTTCGATCTAATTTAAAATGAATTTGCATACATTATATTTCCTTTTCTAATAATTTAATTAATTTTTTCTAAAATTATTTCTACGAAAATTTACATTGGAATGTGGCTGACTGACTGACTTGGAGGTTTTCTAAGATTTAGAAAATGTCAACGTGTTTTCCTTTTATTTGTATTTTTTTTTAAAAACAATTAATAGTTTTTAAACGTTTTTGACGGGGGGGGGGGTCATCAAAATTAAACAACAACGTCAAATTCGATGGAAAACTGGAAAAATGTTTGTCGTAAGGTTTAAGAAAAAAACAGAGAGAGACATAAACAATATCCAGACGAAAATAATTTGTTTTCTGACCTTTGTCATCATCACTGACGGTTATATACTAAAAATCACCGGTTATATTAATGAAAACGTAATTAACATATGGCTAAATATTAATAATAATAATAATAATAATAATAATAATAATAATAATAATAATAATAATATTTAAATAAACCATTCGGTTAATTCTTATATTTATTCCTTTTTTCCCAACGAGACCTTGAGGTATGTGTGTGCGTGTATCTATTGAAATAGTTTATTCGAAAAAGTGCGTATCAAAAAATATATAAAAAAAAAAACCTGAATTAATTTTTATACACAAATACAAAATTTGTTATGAAAAATCGAGGAAATGAATTTTGCGAATAACGTTCGTTTTTTTTTTTTTTTTTTTTAAATAAATTTTCCGCATGAACAAAAGGAAGTTAATGTCCTTCGTTATTATTTCCTTCCAATAAAAAAAAAAAAAAATTTTACAAGGAATTATTTTGCAAAATGTCAAGGCGTTTTACACGAACGACAAATTAATAATTATATAAAAATTAAAAATCGTTTGATTAAATTATATTAAAAAAAAAAAAAAAAAAAAAAACCGTGTCGAATCATACCGGAAATAATAATAAAGGTATAACGGAACTTCTATTTTCAAGATCGATTAAACATGTCCGATAATACATTAAGAAAATTATAGAGTTTTAATAAATTTCAATGCCGCGTAAATACACAAAAAGGTGCTAATAATATATATTTAATCTGATATTTTATAATAATCGTTGCGTAATTTTTAATGAAATCTTATTCGGTTATACAACAACAACAACAACAAAATGATTCATGCTTTTTTTTAACCGCGTTGAGGGATCTAATATGAAAGATAGAAAAACCAACCAAACAAACAAACAGCAAACAACAACACAAACACCCTAACGAAAACAAACAAGTTTCTATTTCCTATACTCAATGAAACCTTAACAAAACGGTAAACTACGCATTTGACAATAATAATAATAATAATAATAATTTTTTCTTTAAATCAAATCTTAATCGATTCCCTTTTTTTTCCTTCACATCCTTGAATGAAAATGAAAAAAAAACTGGCAAAGCTCAAAACGACAAAAGAAATATATAAAACCTTGAATGATAAAACCTTAATGAATAAAAACACGCCCATGTTTTTTAACAATGATAATGATAATGATGGGGAGTAGAAAATTATTTAAAGGAAAGATGATAAAAACATTGTGATAAATATAATCACATACCTTAATGTAAATTAATTAAAGTCCAAATTTTTGTCCTTTTTTTATTCGATGATGTTATTCAGGTACATTTTTTTCCTCCTAATTTATCCGTGGATAAAGTTGTTTTTTTTGCTCCATCATCATAATTAATTGTTTCAGGTGTTAGATGTATAGTTTTCGTGTGGTGGAATCATCGTGTTAAAATTTTATTATTTAACCGATTTCCTAAAAAAAAAAAAAAAACAAAAATAATTTTGATAAGTTTTCCATAAAACTCCCTACTCCCCACCAAATGCTGTACTCCTCTGAAACGCAAATAATTTGATATTTTAAATTTAATGATTGTACATAAATTTATTAAATGTTTTTCTTCTTCTTCTTCTTCTTCTGTATAATCGACATGAAAACATTAAAATGTTTTATTTTAAAAGGATACTAATTAAACAATAAAATTTAATGTTTTATTGAAAAAAAAAAGATAACAAAATGTTAAAATTATATTTAATTACATTGAATTTTGCATGTAAGACACAAAAAATGGCGTTACGGTGGTGATTTGCAATAAATTATTATTTTTTTCTATTTACAAAATCATTATTAATAAAATGTGTTATAATAATACCTTAAGGTATGATTCAGAATTTGCATTCACGTTTATACACATACACATACATGCACATACACACAGTGGTTCATATGGCCTTACCCTTTAATTCTTTAACTACTCAATGGCAATTATGCCTAACAGGTGTTAAAAATTAAAATTGACTACCAACCAACCAACCATCCACATGCATTATTCAAGTTTTTTATCATTATTATTATTATTTGTTTCGTTTCTTTACAGTATTATTATGCATAATTGTTATTAATTGAATTTTTATAATGAAATAATTTAAGTATGATTATGATGATGATGATGATGAGTGGTAACATAATAATCAACAACCCTGGTAATAAACAACTCTTCTTCAGCAGGTTATATTTGCATAAACAATTCAAAATATGATCTCAGGAACGGTATTAGTCCAAGTATATGCAAATGTTTAAATGAAAGCCTAAGAACAAAATGTTTTTTTGTTGTAAAAATGATTGTGAGAAACTTTTGTCTTAAACATTAACTTTAAATTTTTATTTAACAAGTGAATTTTCAAAGGTAGTTAAACAAAACAAACACAATTTGAGAAATTGTGTTTGTTTTGTTAGTTTCTCAAACTATCCAAGGCAAACATTATGTTTGTTATAATAACATTATGTATTTAATATGATAAAATACAACAAAAAGTTTTTCTGCTTTGTTCCTATATCAATTGTCTTTTGTATTTGTAATTTATTTATTATCATTTATATTTTAATATCATATATTATTAAACTTTAATAAATTTAATGATGTGAACCTTGGCATTTTGAGGACCTAAATAAATTGAAAGTCACTTAAAAATATTTTTTTGATTAAAGTAAATAAAAATTGGCCTTAATTCATACAAGGATAGAAGACAAATACAATTCTTAAATGTCGTTTACTGTATCTTCTTCTCATGTTTTATCATATATTTATATATATAAATTATACTTTTATAAAAAAATAGGTTTAAAATAATCTTGATGATGTCTGTTTTGTTTTGTCTTTTTTTCAAAGCCTTAAATTTAATATGTGTTTCACTTGAATGAAATGAATTTAGTTGACATAAGCATTTTATTATCATGAATTTAAAATTGCATACATATACAAGTTTTCAAATAACGGTATAATTCTTTTTTTTAAAAAAAAAAAAAGTCAGCTTACTCTGACATTTTCTTTTATTTTTAATTGTTTTGTCTGACATTTTTGCATTAATGCATAAACCATAGTTGTTTTGTATAAAAAACGTTGTTTTGATAAAATTAAAGTTATACACAGTTCTAAAAAAAGATGAACAAACAAAGAAACGAAAGGATGGTTTCGATAAAGTTAAAAATTTGTGAAAAATTTTTTTTCCTCAATCTAAATTAAAAATGATCCTATTCACAAAATGGCGGAAGATAAAAATTTATACCCCTAAAAACCGTTAAGAATTTTTTAATAGATTTCAATTGTTCAAATGTTATATAAAACTATTTTGAATTTATTAATGAATTTTTTATTTAAATATTCATTATTTTAAATTATTTTCTTTTCGATTAAATTAGAGATGGTTTAAATATGTAATTTTTTTCTTTTTTGAATTTTCGGTTCATCAAAAATGGAAATGTAGTAGAAATTCTATTGGCATAAAAATTTATCTGATACAATCCGAAAATAATACAAACTTTTTTCGATGAAATTAGTCATAAATAAAATTAAAAGTTAATTAATTTTTCTTTTTAATTCTTATAATTAAATGATAGATTACTTTTTGCCAAAAGAAGCGGAAAAAAATTGGCATGAAAATTTAATTTTACTTTTAAATGTATGAATATGGCTTACAGTTAAGAAAATTCTTCTTTCCTTTTCTTCCTTATTGTCCCGTGTTTTTTAATTACTTCTTAATTACTATCTGGCACAATTTTTTTTAAAAATCTTTCATAAATCATGATTTTAAAATCAAACCACCAAAAACTGAAAAAGTTTCTAAGATTTTTGCTACTATTTAATAATTTTGCTATAATTTAGAAAAACAAAATGTCGCTTTGGAAGTCCTTAAACCGTTTATGTGTACAATACAATAATTTTAATAAGAGAATTGTCACAAAAAATATTTTTAATAATGGGTAATATAAATACTACGATTTTTATTTTATAAATAATTTATTATATTTTACGAATTATTCGAGATTTATTAATTTGCGAATCGGATAAAAGTAAATCAATACTTAAAAAATTTTGAAATTTTAGATGTTCCACTACTTACATTCATCCAACAGTTTCAAACTGTGCTATTCATATTTCTAGTATAAATAATGATATAATGGAATTTTTCGATGATAAAGAAAATTGGGGAGCCAGAGAAGTTTTAGTAGGTAGATCGTGGAAAGTAGAGGAACTTAGAATTAAATCAAATTCTGATTTACATAAGTTATGGTACATACTATTGAAAGAAAAGAATATGTTACTTACCATGGAACATGAATATAATGTAAATAGTTAATTGTAATTTTTATCGTTATGTGGTATTATTCGATAAAGTGTTAACCCGAGTTTTTTTTTTCTTACGTAGAGAGTTTACAAACCAATGCCTAATCCTGAAAGAATCGATAAAGTTGAAGAAAGTATGGAAAATTTAGAAAAAGTTGTCAGAGAAAGAAATCGAGCATATTATGAACTTGAAACGGGGAAAACAGGAGAACGTCCTTTCTGTGATAAAACAAATTGTTTTGGTATAATTTTTTTTTAAATGAATTTATTTATTAAAAATATTAATGATTAAATATAATTTTTTTTGGTTGTAATACTAATTTTTAAATGATGTTGTAGGTTTAACTTACAAGTACAAAATGAATCAGCATAAAATACCATCTTATTTAAATAAAAAGTATTTGGAAAAAGATAAGTTAGAAAATCAAACGGATGATCATGTTTATATTCAAAACTTTTTAACAAGACTCAAAGAGAAAAGAATGAAAAGAGATAATTATTACAAAAGGTATGATAACTATAACTAGTTTTTTTTTTTTTTAATGATTAGTTTTTATATTTTATTAACCAAAAAACCTGTGCATATTTTTGAAATGTCTTGGTTTGAGTTTTGTGTGACACTAAACTTAAAATTTTTATAAATTTCACAGTATTTTCATTTTACAAAATGATTTTAACAAAATTATTCCCATTTGGAAGCATATTTATACTAATTAATATATATATTATGTACATATTTTAAAATATCAAATAAGTATAATTTTAAGATATTAGAAAGTTATAATATATATATTTAAAATTCAATATTAATTTCAGGAAAAGATACAATGTAGTTTGTAACTTGCTTAAACGATTTCCTGATTTGGATGAAGAAGCATTAAAAGAACGATTTCCAGATGTTGATATTGAAATGGCTAAAAAAGATAAAAATTCAAGAGGCAATCGTGAAAATCTTTATTAAAAATATTTAAATTTAAAAATTTAATAAATTTTTTTTAAAATAAATAACATTAGTTTTATTTAATAATTTATATTTTATAAAAATATGTCAGTTGACAAAGCTTTGTGTTACATATTTTTTTTTTTTTTTTTTTGAATAATTATTTACGTAATTATTACATACGACTTAATGCAATATAAAAAATTTTAAAATGGAAAATAATAAATTCGAGAATAATTCATTTACAATTTAGACGATAGCAAAATAGTCGTAAAAAAATTTTTTGCTACCAATCATAAACCGAATGGAAGATATCTTTTGCGTAAATTAACAGTAGTATTTGTACCATGAAAAAATGGCGGATGAAAGTGAGAGTTATCCATTGCACGAATGCGTTTTTAAAGGTGACGTGAGAAAACTATCTTTATTAATTAGATTAAATGACATTAGCAAGAAAGACAAACATGGTAAGTGCATATTGGTAAACTTTTTAAAATCTGTCGATTTCCTTAACACCACTGCCACATCGTGAGATATTTCTATTTTTGGACATAATTTGACGTTTATAAAATTGATGAGAACATTTCCCTGTTTAAATCTTTTTAAGTTTAATGAGCTTTATTAATTTTTCTATAATCTATTTTAAAAACAAACCTTCTAAATTAAAAAAATTAAATGAAAAATTATTTTTATAAATAACAATCTTAAACTTATTTATTTTTTATCAACAAAAAAGTTATTTTCTCTCTCAATATTTTTCATACCTGTAATATTAAAAAAGATGAACAATTTTTTTTGTTTTACTTTATTTAATTTACTTTTTTAATTTGTTTTTCTAGGAAATACAGCATTACATTTGGCAGTTATGCTTGGAAGAAAAGGTTATTTTCTATTTCCTTTTTTAACATAGCGTGGTATGTTTTTTAGGTTATAATTTAAATATTTTATTTAATTTTTAGAGTGTGTCCAATTGTTGCTGGCTCATGGAGCTCCAGTTAAAGTAAAAAATTTGGCTGGATGGAATCCCCTAGCTGAAGCTATTAGCTATGGGGACAGGCAAACCAGTAAGATTTATTTTTTTATTTTTTTCACTAAAAAATTACATTTATTTATAAATAATTATAATTACCTTTTTTGAAACATTTATTTATTATTTTTTTCTTTGTAGTATGTTCATTGGTGAGAAAAGTTAAGCAGCAAGCTAGAGAGCAAATGGAAGAGAGGCGTCCCAATCTTGTAAAAGCTTTAAATCAAATGGGTGATTTTTATATGGAATTGAAATGGGACTTTCAAAGTTGGGTACCCCTTGTTTCTAGAATATTACCATCTGATTTATGTAAAATAAATAAAAAGGGATCTTGCATAAGACTCGATACAACATTAGTCGATTTTAACGATATGAGATGGGAAAGAGGAGATATTTCATTTATATTTAATGGAAACGAAAGGCCGAATAATTCGTTAACAGTGCTAGACAATAAGGCGAACATATATCAAAGAGTTAAATATGAGGAAAGTGAAGTGGAAATAGAAGATGAAGTAGATATATTAATGTCATCAGACATAATGGCTGCTCAAATGTCGACTAAGTCAATCTCTTTTAGTAGAGCTCAAACGGGATGGATTTTCAGGGAAGCACGAAAGGAAATGGTCGGATCTTTTCAAGCTGATTTTTATGTGATAAACGGAATGCTTTTGGAGTCTCGTAAAAGGCGAGAACATTTAACTGAAGAAGACTTGCAAAAGAATAAAGCTATAATGGAAAGTTTAACCAAAGGCTCTGCCTCAGCTTTGGATTCCAACGGAGAAGTAAACAATTTTACTTTGATTTTTACCTCTTTTTTTTTTTAAATTTCCCTAATTTGATTTTTTACAAACGAATTTGTTTTTTAGCCTAGCAGAAGAGCTTCTTTAACTCCTCCTCCGGAAAGTAAAGTTACCTGGAACGAATACATATCAGCAGAACCTGGGGAGCATCCAACATTAGGAAGAGAAATAATGTACAAAGAAAGTACAAAAGCTTTTAGACCTACATTAGCAATGGTATTATTTATTGTTTTAATTATTTAACTATCATTGTGTACTTTACGTTTCATTTTAAATATTATTCAAGGTCTTTTTAAAAACCATTATTATTATTCTTTTATCGCAAAAAAACGTATGACCCTCAAAATTTATCAAAAAAAAAAAAAATCTTAAATTTCAATTTGAATGGTTTTTTTGAATTAATAAAACTTGGCAGTTGTTGTTTTTAAATTATTCTTTTCGCAAATGTAAAAACCATTATTATTATTATTATTATCAATCAATCATTTGTATTATGTCTCATGTTTTGTTGATTTTTTTTTTTTTTTTTCCTGTTTAATTTCAGAGCCAGGATTTTCCATTAACGGTTGACATGCTTTTAAACGTATTGGAAGTGATTGCTCCGTTCAAACATTTCAACAAATTAAGAGATTTTATACAATTTAAGTTACCCTCCGGATTTCCCGTCAAATTAGATATACCTATATTGCCGACCATATCGGCAAAAATCACATTCCAAGAATTCGAATTTCGAAATAATATATCACCGGAACTTTTTGAAATCCCTCCACATTATGTTGAAGATCCCACAAGGTAATATTTATAATTCAAATATGGCGTTTTTTTCATTTGTAAGACCCAATGCACGATAAAGATTGATAATTACGGTTGTGTTATAATTAATAATAATAATAATAATTTTTTTGTGAATTCATTCATTCATTCATTCATTCATTCATTAATTATTGAATTAAAATTTCAGATTTCCCGACTTATGACGCTCTGATCATTTGATGTTAATAGAGATAGGCTACGAACCAAAAAATATGTTGGCATCAAAATCTTGCAAGTACTTTACCAAGACTCTTTCCGCATCGTCATCACAGACTCCTGGACCTCACTTTCACGAAATCAAATCATTTTGTATAAACGCGAGACAAGGAAGGAAACAGGGAAAGAAAAGATGCATGACCACGCCATATTCGGACGATGGAAATCGTAACGCGGATGGGAAAATATCAACGGGGAAAGGGAAACAACGTTTCGGTTTATCCATACAAAAAACCGGAAATGGGAAAAATAATAATAAAAATAATAATAATAATATTTCGGATAAGGAAAATTACGTCACGAATAATAATAATAATAATAATAATAATAATAATAATAATAATTTAAAAGATGGTGGTTCGTTGTCGAAAAGGAAAATGATGGTCAAATCATCGGATTCGTTTTTCCTACGTGACAAACGTGTTCTAACGTTAGAATTCCCGATGATGATTAACGTCGGAAGCATTTATTCATCTCACGTCATTATTTATTTAGATCCCTAATTACTAACCCTATCATTTTCCCCTCCCCATTTTCCCGGCAAAAAAAAAAAGGAAAAAGATAACAACAACAGCAACAACAACAATTTTTTTTTTTTTTAATATTAAAAAAAGTCCGTCTGCATTTGTAAAACAAATTTTTTTTTTTAAGAAAAGAAAAAAGAAAAATTATTTTAAATTTTTTTTCTTCCATTTTTTATTGTTATTATTATTATTATTATTTTTTTTAAATTATATTTTATTGGGAATATTTTCTAAAAAGTGAAATCGATTTTTTTTTTTTTGATTCATTTTATTTATGAAATCATGACAAAAAAAAATTAATAATAAATAAATAAATATTGTAATTATATTACAATATATATATAATGTATATAAAATGTACAATAAAATATGTACATAATTATGATAATGATAATAATGGAAACAAAAATAAAATGAAATTTTTTTACTCAATCAATAAATCAATCAATGGATGAGTTACCGTAAATGAATTTTATTAATTTATATAAATCATTTATTTTATTTTATTTTATTATTATTAAAATTTTTATTTTTGAATTCATCGTCGCTGTTTGTTTGTTTGTTTGTTTGTCGGGTAAATGATTAAAAAAAAAAAAAATTTAATAAATGTAAAAATAACGTAACAACTCAATCGTTTCGTAAGAGTAAGGCTTGATTTACTTTTGTTATTATCATTATTATTATTATTATTACTATTATTATTACTATTATTATTACTATTATTATTATTATTATTAAATAACAACCGTAAGAAAAATATCTCATCGTTGTGCGTGTGAAAATATTTCAATTGGGAAAAAAAATATAAAATTCATTCATAATAATAATAATAATAACAATAACAACAACTGATATTAATATTAATCGGATAACTTATTGAACCAAATATTAATAATAATAATAATAATTATTATTATTATATACATTTAAAAGCGTGAAATCAATCCCAATTAATATTTGTCAATAATAAATAATTAATTTTTTTGTTTGCATTGTACTTAATAATAATAATAATAATAATAATCATAATCATAATACCCGTCAATTAAATACAATAAAATAATTATTCAAATCAAATTTTTCAATAATAATAATAATAATAATAATAAGTTCACTTTCGGTTTATTTATACTAACGAAATGAAAAAAAAAAAAAAAGAAAAATTTCATGCCAAAGTGTGACGTCAAAAAAAAAAAAAATTAATTAATTAATTAATTAATAAATAAGTAATTAATATATATATAAATGTATTTGACACTGCCAATCAATGTATCATACTACGTATAAATTTATTAAAATTCTATTTCAAAAGGGAAAAAAATAAATAAAAAAATAAATTCAATAAACATATCAATCATTGTCTTGTATATATATTTTGTTATATTTTTGCATTAACGGTGCTAACGTTTCGCTTTTTTCTTTTTTTTTTTTTTTTGTTTTAATTTGTATGAAATTCTCCTACCCCCTTACCCCCTCTTTCCCCCCAACATCATTTTCTGCGGGGCAGAATAAATTATATTTAAATATAATTATTTATAAACATTGATAATGATAATTATAATTTTAATTATGTATTGAATCGTGATTATTAAAAATAAAATAATTTTTTGTTTGTTTCACCCTCTCCCTCTCCTCCCCCCTCCCGCCGTGTTCCTCCTCCTCCTCCCCCTACTCTCGACGAGATTTAATAAATATGCATTTTATTATTATTATTATTATTATTATTATTATTATTATTATTAAATTTTTTTATTTTATCCCGAATGAATTAAATTTAAAACCTGAAAGAAATTATTCCAGATTTTTTTTCCTCATCCCCATTCAATCACTTTATCCCCATTCTCACCTCGTTTTATTTATAAATGATATTATTATTATTATTATTATTATTATTATTATTATTATCATTATCATTGTGAATATATTTAAATGTGGATGGATTTTTATTCTAATTCATGTAAAATTTTTTTTTTTTTTTTGTGATTGATCACAATCGAAACAGGGTATGTGATAAATTTTGGCAATCATTAAAAAAAAAAATTAATTCGAAATTTATTTGCTGTTGCTGCTGTCATTCTCAATTATCATTATCATCATCATCATCATCATTATTGGTTTTAAACGACACGTTTACCTTTCCACATTCTCGGTTTTTCCTTTTTGAGCAATCCCATGGCCGACCTGTGAAGCATTCTCCTTTCCTCCTGATGCCTTTTTATTTTCTCTTCGTATTTCGAATCCTTTTGATTTTTTTTAAAATGAAATTTCATTTCTCTGTTCCCACGTCCCGTGAACAAAATCCTATTCCTCTCTTCTTTCTCCACTCTGTCTCCGAGCGAAGATTTATTTATTTTGTTTTTCAAATGTCTGATTCCCTTGTAATCCTCTCCCTCTTTCAATTCGTAAAATTTCGGTTCCGACATTTTCTCTTCTTCCAACTCTTTCTCCCTCCTTTCCCGCCTTATTATGGCGTACTGTTTCCTCAATTCGTTTTTGATTTCCGCTTCGTCATCAGACGAACTTTCCTCATCCGAACTGTTACGTCCCTCCAATTCTTCATCGTTTCCTCCTCCGCTTATTTCTTGGAATTTATCCTGGAGTAATTTTTCCCTTTCCTTTTTCTTTTTCTTATTGTCCATTCGCGACAGGTGCGGATACGCCAGGCGGTATTCTTCCGCGTTCTGATCTATTTCGAATTCGGGTTTCTTGAAAAGATTTGAAAATCTTTCGTCTTCGAGCAAGTTGGATTGTTTTCGACCATCGCTCATTAATTTCAATGCGAGGTCTTTATTCACGCTCGGGAGTTTTATGGCTTTGACACGATTTTGCCTCTCGGATTCGATCAATTCTCGAATTTTCTTTTTCCTATATTTTTCGAAAGCGAAAGGATCGGATATGGCTTTTGCTTTCTTATACAATCTAATGTCTATGAAATACCCGTGCATGTAAGCTCTCAGTAATGTTGTACCTAACAAATGTGACAAACCTAAATCTGCCAATTCTGCTTTAGTAACAAATTTATAATCATCATAAATTGTATTTATTTTACTTTCTTCTAATTCCTCTGTTAACGAATCTAAAAATCCACACCATCTCGGTGCTGGACCCAAACTTGGAATATAATAAGTTAATATTTTAGTGTTTTCATTCGCTATAAATAGCATCCCTGTATTTTTAACAAAACACAAATCGTTAAAATCAGATTTACCTTCGATCGATGTAAACATTTTACCAGAATTTTTTTCCCATATTTTCAATACAGAACTGTCCATTGACATAACAAAATCATGATTGTTTTCAAATTCAATGTTTTTAATTGGTAATCCATACAAATGATCTTTTATGAAAAATGGCTTATTGGCACGAATGTCATACAGAAGGATTTGTCCAGTCGCAGTTCCCACACCCATAGTTAAACCATTTTGAAAATTTAAAGCCGTCACAGATGGAAATCCTTCGAGAGGAGTGTCCGATGTGCAATGTAAAGCGCAGTCCAATTCTCCTACTCGATTTCTCTCACGAGGATCCCAAGCTTCAACTTTACCCTCTCTCGTACCACACATTAATAAATTATAAACAGGACTCACTGCACATTTATTTATTTCTGATGAGTTTGTTTCATATGACATTAAAAACTGTCCTCTTTCTAAATTTAACCTATAAATATCTGAACTGGCACCCACTATAAATAATTCGCTTGTCGGCGAATGATATTTTAAATCCCTACCAAATTTTGGAATCCTAAGTTTATAATAATAACCGCCAGCTGCATGAAATTCTATGTATCTATCACACTGAAGAAAGACTAACTTACTGTAATCCTCTGAAAGTATTTGAAAAGCTACTACCTCTGAATCCAAACATCTCTCAAATTTCATAGAAAGATGGTGAACATCAAAACATTTAACCCTTGGTTTGTAAATTCCTGAAGAGAAAAAACGACATGGATAAAAGTTTGCTAAGTTTATTCAATTCAATATTTTCATTTATAAGTTTCAAAATGAAAAATTATGATTCCATCTTTAATTTAAATCAAATTATTTGAAATTTATTAAAAATGAAAAATTGCTGCTTTTTTTCTTCGAAAATTCTTTAAAGAAACTTTTAAAGAAACTCTTCGGCTTCTTACTATCACTTACGAACCAAAAGTTATAAATTAATTTTGATTAATAAATTGATCAACTGAAAAATAAATTATGTAGAATATAAAAATGTGCGTTTGTGTGCAAAATATTATTGTAAATACCTGTTGCCAAAATGTATTGTCCATCGGGTGAAATATTAATATTAGTGCTAACACCAGGCATATTAAAATCTTGAATTAATTCTATTCTACGACGAATATCAATGTCTTTTTTTTGAAGTGCTCTCTTTTTCCGATCGCTCAACCATTCCGGAAGAGACTTTCCAGCACTTAAATTATAAATTTTAACGTTATTCGGATCAATAACTTCCATTTTAATAAACAAAAATACACGTGCTAATGATTTCTTGAAGCCGCCATTTTGATTGTTTACCACTAGCAGAAAGCATTCAAGTTCAAGAATTTTACAAATGGCAAATGGTGGAGATATAATTCAAATTATGGCAGATAACCCTCAAAAAAGGCCGTCTAAAGGGATTTTAAAGACGTCAACTAGTTTTGAAAAGCAAGGAAAAAATTCAAAGTGAGTTTTAATTCACATTTTTTATTTTTTATTATTTTTAATATTAGTTTTACATGAAAAAAATCGTAATTACATTTGAGTTGATGAAATTTTTTTATGTATATTAGTCATTAATTGCTAAGCATGGGCGGAACGGTTTTAAAAAAAATAGGGCGTTCTATGTTTGAAAAATAAAAAAGCGGTTTCCTCTTTGTACAATTTCACAAAAAAAAAAAAAAAAAAAAGTGCAATAATGACATTAGTCGCGATTACTATGAAAATAATTTGAATCAAAATAATATGAAAAGGTTAAAATCACTTTAATATTATTTACACAACAATTTATTTTATATTTGTTAAATGATGTAATTGGTAAATGTCAAATATCCGTTGGTGAATCACACAAAACAGAATTATTGTCCTAGATTATGTTCGCAAAAGTATCATTAGAAATCAAAAATAATTTTTGTCCATAACTTAAAAATATTTTATTTATATAAATTATCATTCTATAAACTTTTTCAAAAGTAACATTTTAACTCGTTTAAAACCATAAAAAAAAAAATTCTTTGTTTTTTTTTTTTTTTATTATTATTTTGAGGGGGAAAAAATTTTATGACTTTAACATTTTGATTTTATTCATTTTGTATGAATCTTACTTCAAATTATTTTCAATAATCCATGATTTATAAATTACAAGTTATTAGTTTTACTAAAATTAATATGTTTTATAAATTTTTTTTATCGTTTGTTGCATTTAAAAAACAAAAAATGCTTTTACGATTCAATTTCATTCTTGTTTAGTAATTTCTAACAAAAATATTTTTTAAAAAAATCAAAGTTATTTTTAATGATTTTATTTTTTAAAAATCTCATATTGATATTATCAAGGTTAAATAAAATATTTATTTGAAAAGTTGTAAATATGTCGCACAGTATTATCTCATATTGATTTAGATGATAATAAGTTTGATATAAACACTGTCACTCTTAAGTCGAGTGATTGCATGCATGCACATATATATATTTAGTCGCAAATAAAAATTAAAATTAATGGCTTTGTTTGTTGCCAAAATTTTTTTATGTATGTAGTAGTTTATGTCATGGATTAAATAAGAAAATGAAATAATTTTTTTAAAAATATATATATATTAAAAAAAAGAATAATAATAATAATAATGATAAATCAACAAAATAAATTTCAAAACATAAAAAAGAAAAAAATTTTTTAAATTTCGATAAATAAAACATTTTTAATACAACAAATCAATATGTAACAAGTTAATAAAATTTTAAAATGGAATAAAAAACATTTATGTTAATTATTATTTACACAATATGAGCAAATAATTAAAAAAATAAAAAATAATTGATGTTTTATTTTAAAAAAAAAAAATATTTTCAACACTATTTTATCTTAGGTGAATTTCTCTTTTTTATTCGAATGCATTTAGGACAATTTTCGCTCGATGATAAACATGTGTCATGATAAATGGCAAAACAATTTCCACATCTATATGTTGTCAATATATCGAATGGGAAAATTATTTTAGAATTTTTACATATTTCGCAAATGAAACCCTTTTGATTGCAGACCCAACAATTGATGACGTGGTTTTTGCCAAATGTGACAATCGATGTCAATTCAGATGCCAACACTCCTCCGGGGATTTGACACAAATCTTTTATTGAATAATGATCTATGAATTCGTAAATGTGTTCTCTGGGAGCTACTTTTTTCTGCAATTCTATCAACAATGATTCTTTACAAGTGTACAAATACGTTCTCAACATATTCAATTGCAGTCTTATTATTCTTAAATTTTTCATTTCTGGAACGGCAGAATACAATTTGGGATTAATATTTTTTATATCTATGAGAAAATGATTGCCTATGTCGTTTAAATATTTACTAGCTTTACAACAAACGGGATATTTTTTATGATCCCAATTGAATATAATTCGACTAGGAATGACGCTCGTTTCATTCAAATGACAATCAACGCAATAATACTCTCCTGTAAAATAACAAAGTCTAGCTTCTCCGAAAGTTAAACCTATTGATACCTCACAATTTGCACATGTATATTTTTGTGCTTTCAAACCTGATTCCCTAACAATTTTATATAATTTTGTCGTGTACGAAGTATAATACTTTGATTGTGCATTATTCGTAGCGATAGATTCTTTTTGTTTTATGTTTTGCCTTTCCATCATTTCTTTTAACCTGTCTTCGTAATTTACTTTTTTATTCGGAGATATCCCTACTTTTTCTAATAAAGTGCTGTAATCTTCTGATTTGGGATCTTTTTTGACACTCTGAACATTTTTCACAGGATCTGGAATGATGTCAGTTACAGAAGACCACCCAGTCGCATTTCCTATTAAATTTTCTTTAGGTGTTGATGATGACTGTTCATTAATTATATTTCGATCATTAATGTTTGAAATGATTAATGTTTCTTCTTTTTCTTCCATTAATGGCTTTTCTATCGAATGAGGCATTGAACTCTCATATGAACTCACAGAATTAGATTCGCAATTGCTTTTCGTGAAAGGAGCCTCTAGTATCAGTTTTAAAGTTTGAGTTTCATCAATGGCTAACAAAGTTGTTAACGAACTACTCGTCTTTATGATGTCATGTTCTTCATCATCTTCAATTTTCTCCGCCACATCGATGGCTGTTCCAACTGGGGTTTTCAATGATGAAGACCAAAGTCCCGATTTTATCAATGGTTCATTACTCCAAACATTTAAAATGCTCGAGTTAAGGGGGATTTCGAATTGCACTGATAGAATTCCTTCTAAAAATTTACAAGCTGTGTCGCACATTTCTCTATCCCTAAGAAAAGCATAATTTGAATAAAAACTATTTAATAATCTTCTATCTTTTTCCATGGCAGTAAAATAACTAGTCAATTCGAATTCATTAAGTGCTAATCTAATCCAAACTCTACACCTTCCCACATCATTTGTGATCTGCGATAAATTTTTAATTTTATGAATTGTGTCTTTGTGAGTAAAATTGCATACCATATTCCAAAATGAGGGTTGGGGTTTTTTTTCTTCGACTCCCGCCACGGCTTTCCAAGCGGATTTAAATATTCCCAATTTTAATCCGTGAAGGAAAATTGCTTCTAATATGATAATTAACGAATTGCATCCTTCGTATGTTGAAAAAACTTCGTGCCTTTGTGACAACGTCAGTTGAATTTCTTTGATACTGTGAGATAATTGACAAAGTAAAGATTCCTTTATTAACGTTTGAGTTTCTATAATAGTTTTTCTATTTTTCAACGACTGCATTTTTTCCAATTTTATTTATTTCTTTCTTTCCTTTTACTGAAATGAAAACAAAAAAGAAAAAAAAAAATGATTTGTCAGACGTTTATCGATAACAGAAATGATAATTTTTTTTTTTTTTTTTAAACAATTACTTTCAGGAAATGTTTTTTTTTTGTTTTTTTTTGTTAAATAATAAAAATTTTTTCACTCACTTATTTGTACGAAGACTGAAATAATAAAATTACAATAACTATTGTAAATAATTATTTTAATCGTATGTTTATTTTGTCATAATCAATGAATGGAGTCGCCATTTTTGTATTTTATTAGAGGTGCCAACATAACATTTCGAGAATTAATATTTACCTGAATAAAATACAAAAATTATTTTCTCTCTCTGCCAATTAAATTTAATAACTCGAAAATAAATTTTTTGATTTTTTTTTTTTTTTTTTTTTTTTTTTTAGGAAAAACAAACCCAAAGAGACAAAATGGGATGAAATGAACATAATAGCAACTCTTCATCCCTCCGAGAAAGACTACGGTCATATGAAAATAGAAGAACCTAAAACGCCGTATAATTATGATTTTGACGACGAAGACGAAGTCGATGCAAAAGAACGCATGTTAGATCCGGAAGAATTGGCAGAAAAGTTTGTTTTCACGATTTTTTGAAATTGGTCGCCATAACAGAAACATTAACAATTTCTTCTACAATTTTTTTTTTTTAAATTTTTAGGTTAAAAAATAAATTAGATAGAACTAGCAAAGTTGATGAATTCGATGAGGGATCGAGTGATTCCGAATCGGAATTGAGCGCGGAAGAATTGGCGAGGAAAAACGTTTTCAAAAGCAAAAGAAAAATGCATTATAACGAATTTAAAGTTGTCGAATTTGCAAGGAAGTTAATTAAAGCCGACGAAGAAGCATTGGAAAACGACGAAGAAGGCCACGATCGGAACGCTTGTCCGACTTCGAGCGGAAAATTAAGTAAGTATTTATTTATTTATTTATTTATTTTTATTTCGTACGAGACGTAAAAGTATTAAGTAAATAGTTTAGTTAAAATCGGATACTAAATAAGAAAAGAAAATAATTATCATTGGTACACAAAAAAAAAACAAAACAACAACGAGAGATTGTAAATTGAGATATTTTCAAACGTGCATCACAATGTCGTGCGCCATTTTGAAATTCTTATGCCCGCCCCCTTTTCTCTCTTCTCCTGACACGTCGTTTATCGTTAAAAACGCGAACTCATTCGATAAAATGAAAGTCGGTTGATGATGAATCGTTGATTTCTTTCGTGAAAAAAAAAAAAAAAACCTCGAAATAATAGTAATAATTATTATGATAAATGTTTTTTTTTTTTTTTGTTTATAACGAATTTTAATTGTTGAGATGATGAAAAAAAAAAAAAAAAAAATTACAGGCGGAGACGATGCGGAGAACGATAAGGAAGAAGAAACTAGTTTATCGGAATCAAATGTCGAGAAGATTCGATTGCAAGATGGCGACGAATCTTCTTATCAATCTCCGAGAAATAAAGGAACGAGTGAAATTTTTTAAAGGGGAAGACTCATAATACCTGATTAATAATAATAATAATAATAATACCCGGTCGACTAAAGGCCATTTTCATTCTCTCTCTCTCTCTCTCTCTTTCACTCACTATATCATTTTTTTATATAAACTTTTCTATCTTTGTTATTACTATTATTATTATTATTATTATTATTATTATTATTAATAATACTCTCTTTCTCTCTGTCTCTCTCTCTCTCTCGCATAGGAAAATTTATTTATTTTATTTATTTTCAATAATAATATTAATAATGATAATGCCATGATGATGATGATGATGATAATATTCATTTAGTATTTGGGGAATTAAGAAAAAAAAAAAAAAATTTCAAATTTGTTTTTCATATTGTAATTTTTATTTTTAGAATGCAAGAAAGAATGCATTAAAAAACCAGAAAGAAAAAAATAATAATTTATAATGTAAAAAAAAGAAAAGAAAAGAATATAAGAAATTGTAAATAAAAGAAAAAATATTGAAGGAATGAAAACACACAAAAAAAAAAAAAAAAAAAAAAAAAAAAAGTTTACAGTAAAATAATAATCGAAGAAAAATTATTAAGGAAAAAAAAAAAAAAGTCAATTTCAACCGTTATCAGTTGTTTTTTTTTTTGTTGTTGTTATTGTTGTTGAAACATTTAAAAAAGGAAAGAAAGAAAGAAAGAAAGAAAGAATAAAAAACCGCGAACTAAATAACATTTCAGTTGAGTTGTATTCATGAAAAAGAAAATGGAGAGGGAAAAAAGAAAAGAAAAAAAGCAAAAACAAAAATACTAATTAATATTATTATTATTATTGTTATTAATCAATAGTTTTTTTTTTTTTAATTAACTAATTATCATTGTAAATTTAATTTTAAAAAAAAGAAAAAAAAAGAATCCAAAAAAACAAAAAAAGGGAAAAAATTACTGTAATAATAATAATAATAAGAAATTTAAAAAAAAAAAAAAAAAAACAAAAACAAAACAAAAAAAGTTGTTTCTTCCGTTTCCCCCTTTTTCCCCGCCCCTTTGCTTAACTTTTTTTTTACTCTATGCTCTTAATAATAAATTTTATTAATTTTTTCTTATTCTAAGAAGATTACGTGCCAATATATTTATATAATATACAAGTACGTTAATTTAAAAAAAAATATTATGTTGAAGATATCATAAGATGAATAATTGTGCACATATTAAGCAATGCGTTTGCTCACGTTTTTTACGTTTCGAAAAAAAAAACATTACGAATGTTTGTGTATTGATAATAATAAATAATAATGGCCGCCGTTATCTATCGTTTAACTCGATTGATAAGAATTATATTATCATTTTTATTTAATATAATAATAATAATAATAATAATAATAATAATAATTTTTCAATTTAAACGTCGCGTTTATATATTTATTGAGAAAAAAATTTTTTTTTTTTGGAAATTCGATTTGCTTCCTTATCATCATCATCATCATCATAATAATAATAACCAATAATAATAAATATTATTTTCAATAATAATTAAATAATTTATATATAAAAATTATTTATTCGAATAATTATTTTTAAAAATAAATTTAATTTAATTAAATTTTAAAAAAATTGTTTTTTGCGTTTTTCCATCGCCCGAAATCTATCGTGTCCTCCTTCGTTTAATTTAATTTAATTTTGTTTATTATTCTAATGACACGTTCAAATTCGGGAAAGGGGGCAAATACTCTAATCATCCCTAAGCCATTACACATTCGTTGTATAACAGATGAATGGATGAGACAGTGTGTGAGACAGAGATAGAGATAGAGACTTGGCGCCATCAACATCAAACTCATAATTTTAAACGTTTTGTGTTCGGATACAAGGATACCAACATCAAGGAATATAATTATCATCATCATTATTATTAATCGTTTTTAAATGAAAAATTAATACAATTAAAATAAAAAAACAATTATTATATAATTACTTGAAGAAAAAAAAAAAAAAAAAAAAAAAGAAAATGGTTCCAATCTATTTTTAGAAACTTTCAAACCTAAACACAAACAACTTACACAACAACTATTTTCAGTCATCATCATCATTATCATCATCTATCTGTCTATCTATCCATCTATCTATTTTTTCACTTTTAAATTGTGCTATCTTGATAAAAAAAAAAAAAAACAAACAAACTTATTGATAATAATAATAATAATAATAATAATAATAATAAAAATTTAAATCTTTTTTTTTCTCTCTCTCTCTCTCATTCACTTTCTAGAGACAAACGTTTTGATCGTCGTCGTCGTCGTCGTCGCCATTGCCATTTTTCTTTTTTTATTTTTCCCTCCAAAAGGTTTAAAAAACGGAAAACGACGACGACGACGACAATCACGACCAAGACACACTAAAAATACAAAAAAAAAAAAATTTTTTTCTCTAATTGTCTTTTCTTACTACATTCTGACTGGAAATATTATTATTATTATTATCATCCTAACGTTACAAAATAATAATATTAATAAAAATAATAATAATAATAAAATAAAAAAAATAAAAAAAAAATTTTTTTTAAACAACATGAGAGGCGGTCACCGCGGTTTATAATTATCATCATTATCATCATCATCAACATCTGATATTATCATATCATATCATCATCATTATCATATATATATATACGTATATATAAAAAAAAAATCATCATTATTATTGTTATTCGCGGTTTTTAGTTTTTCACATTCCCATATCTCCCATTCCTCCCATTCCTCCCATGCCGCCCATTCCTCCCATACCGCCCATTCCCATTCCGGGTTCTTTGTCCGTTTTTGGAAGTTCGGTCACGACGACTTCGGCTGTGGTTAGTAGCGATGCGACACCCGCGGCATCCGTCAATGCTGTTCGAACGACCTGTGAGTGATGAGAGAGAGAGAGAGAGAGAGAGAAAGAAAAAAGAAAAAAAAATCATTTATTAAATTTTATAAAAACATTTTTTCTTGGGGGGAGTAAGAAAGAGAGAGAAAGAGAGAGTAAGAGAGTGAGAGAGAGAGAGAGAAAGAGGGAAAGAAAGAGAGAGAGTAAGAGAGAAAGAGGGAAAGAAAGAGAAAGAGTAAGAGAGAAAGAGAGAGGGTAAGAGAAAGAGTAAGAGAGAGAGAGAGAGCAGGAGAAAGAGGGAGAAAGACTAAGAGAGAGAGAGAGAGAGAGAAAGGAGAAAGAGAATGAGAGTAAAAGAGAAAGAGCGAAAGGGAGAAAGTAAGAGAGAGAAAAAGAGGGAAAGGAAGAGAGAGAGAGAGAGAGAAAGAGGGAAAGGAAGAGAGAGAGAGAGAATAAGAGAGAGAAAGAGAGAGAGATATGTAAAAAGGCACAAGCAATATTTTACTTAATCGTGAACTATCATTATCATTATCATTATTCTTATCATAACTATAAACGAATTTTAACGTAATAATAAATTTTTTAAAATCAGTTTATGCAAACTGAAAAAAACTTCCGACATTTTTAAACACAAATAAAACGATTTTCATCACAGAAAACTGACGCCATTTAATTTTTTTCAGTTTACTCGTAAATTAAAAAAAAAACAAAAAAACGAATACGAACCTCTCTAAAAGAAATTTATGAGTGTGTGCGTGCGTGCGTGCGTAAGTGCGCGTTTTATTTTTTATTTTTATTTTTTTTAAATATGAATAAAAACCAAGAAAAACTTCTTTTCACAAAAAGACGAAATTTCGTACACAAAATTAAAATTAAAATTAATAGTAATAATAATAATAATAATAATAAACAATAAAAACTAAAATTTAACGAGGTTGAGGATTAGGCATTGGAGGACTGTAGTCTTCGCCTCCACCAAGGACAAGATCAGGTTTGGCGGGTACAATGACGGTTATAACGGCTTCAGATGTCGCCAACAGGGAACTAACACCAGCGGCGTCAGTCAGGGCAGTGCGAACCACCTGAAGGTTAGAAATAACAAAAGAAAAAAAAAAAAAAAAGGGAAAAAAAAAAGTCTTTCCTAATCCGTCAGCTTTCTCGTGATTTCAATATCGAAAAAGAAAAGAAGACGCAATTTTGTTTGTTTGTTTGTTTGTTTTTTCAATTTTACCTTTGTCGGATCTATGATTCCTTTTTCGATCATGTTGACGTATTCGTTATTAAGTGCATCGTAACCTAAATCCTGTGCTAATTCTTCTACTTTGGCGACGACCACGGACGCATCCAAACCCGCGTTTCTAGCTATGGTCATACAGGGCATTCTCAAAGCCTTCGATACTATGTTAATCCCTACATATAAATACAAAACAAATGAAAATCTTTATTTTAAAAAAAACTGTCATCGTTAATCCACCATTCAAGCAAGAACGATTCGAAACCTGTTTGTTGATCATCGTTGGCGCCTTTTAACTTTTCAAGTACTGGAATGCATCTCAATAATGCGGTTCCACCTCCGGGAACGATACCTTCTTCGACAGCGGCTCTTGTTGCACACAAAGCATCGTTAACTCTGTCTTTTTTCTCGTTTACTTCAACCTGAAAAAATAATAAAAATTCATTCTTACACACACGAAAAAATTCCGCACGTCGATATACTAAAAATATTTTACCTCACTCGAACCTCCGATTTTTAAAACGGCAACACCGGAAGCCAGCCTGGCAAGACGTTCTTGTAATTTTTCTTTTTCATATTCGGAATTTGTTGTTGATATTTGATCTCTTATTTGATCCGCACGACGACTTATGTCTTCTTTTTTCCCCTTTCCCTAATTATTTATAAATTATAAGTAATAGTTTGTACGAGTTTAAACAAAAAAAAAAAAAAAAGAAAATTTTCCAATGCAAGTTACTCTTACTTTTAAGAAAAGCGTGTCATCTTTGGTAATCAAAACTTCACCGACTTGACCTAAATCGTGTAATTGAAGGTCTTCTAATTTAACCGGTGATGCTTCATCACCGAAAACGATTCCACCTGTTGCCACGGCCATGTCTTGCAACGTCGCTTTTCTATTGTCACCAAAACCTGGAGCTTTAACCGCCACAACTTGAAGTCCTATTTTCAGTCTGTAGGAAAAGAACAAATTGTTTTTACCAACAGTTAATAAACCGAATAAATGATTAAATAAAAAGAAGGTTTAAACGTTTTATACCTGTTCACTACCAAAGTGCTTAAAGCTTCTCCATCAATGTCTTCTGCAACAATGACCAAAGGTTTTCTCTGACTGTTCGATAATTCCAAAGCAGGTAAAACGGATTGAATTGAAGTGATTTTTTTCTCGCTGAAGAGAACTAAAGCATCTTGATATTCAACTTTATTTCCTAAATAAATGAATTTAAAAAAAAAAAATTAATTATTGAGAAAAAAAAAAAAGTTTTTTTTGTTTTCGGTTTGAACTTGAAGTCAAGTTTATATGGCTCAACGGTCGTTAACCGACCTTTGACAGTATTGATAAAATATGGTGATATGTATCCTCTGTCAAATTTCATTCCTTCAATAACTTCTAATTCATCTGTAAGAGTTTTCCCATCTTTAACTGTAATGACTCCCTCTTTTCCTACTTTTTTCATCGCTGCTCCAATCAAATCGCCAATTTTTTTGTCACCATTGGCAGATATTGTGGCAACTTGAGCTATTTCTTCAGGTGTTGTGACTTCTCTTGACAATGTTCGAAGGTGAGCGATTACTGCATCGACAGCAATCATAACACCTAAAATGAACAATTTTTAATTTTACCAAAAAATTTTTCCCACCAAAATTATCGCTTATTGATTTAAATTTAAATTCGACCTCTTCTAATTTCGATCGGGTTGGCTCCTTTACTAATTTTTTCAAAACCTTCTTTTGCGATTGCTCTTGCCAAAACTGTGGCTGTTGTGGTACCATCACCAGCTTCTTCATTTGTGTTATTAGCAACATCTTGCACAAGTTTAGCTCCTATATTTTGAAATTTGTCTTTTAATTCAACACCTTTAGCTACGGTAACTCCATCTTTTGTTATCTTTGGACTTCCCCAAGTTTGTTCAATTATTACATTTCTACCCTGAATAATTACAATATTAAATTTTAAACATGTGTATCATCCTTTCCAATGATCATTTCGATAAAATAATAATTACTTTAGGCCCCATTGTGACTGCTACTGCATCAGTTAAAATATCTACTCCCTGCAACATGAGAGCTCTAACTTCCGGGCCAAACCTAACATCTTTGGCCATATATCTCACTTGAGGAGCAACTTTTAAGTGTCGCTGAGCGACAACTCTGAGAAGTGGAGGTAGACGATGCATTATGACTTAAAACTTACAATCTGAAAATTTTATTTTAGTGAAAAAACACATCAAGTTCTTTATTTCAATTAAAGAATCAAAAAAAAATTTAATTAGTCATTCTTATCATTACAAAAAAAAAATTTAAATTAATTAATTTAAACGTTAAAAATAAATTGAAAAGAATTTTCTAGTAGATGAAGAACATTAAATGGCCATCATTACCAAAACGTGCTTTTCCGTTTGATAAAAAATTATTTGAAAAAAGTTCTCAACCAAAAAAAAAAAAAAAATTGAAAATTATATATAATATTAAATACACAAATAAATTCGTCAAAAGTTATTTAATTAATTAAAGAAGAAGTACAAAAAAAAAACTTTTGTTTAAAATAAATAAGTTAATAAAATTGAAAAACCGTTTTTTTTTTTTTTTTTTTTTTTTCATTTTTTTTAGGTTATATAATTTTTAACCGGTCCAATGTGGACTTTGAAGGCTACGCTTTATAAAATATATATATATATTTTTAATTAATTAATTGTAAATAATAATAAAAATGATAATTTTTAAAACTGACCTGATAAATTATAGAAAAACTTTCAATTTTTTTAAAAATAAAATTTGATGGTTTTTATAATAAAATCTATAAAAAATATTAAGACTCACCTCAATCACTAACAGAGAACAAAAAGAAATATGGCTACTCTTTCGAGTTGCACATGTTTTTTTGAATGCCCGGAACGAGCACATTCTAACAAAAACTTTTTTTTTACATTTAATTATTATTAATAAAATAATAATTGAAAATTTAAAATAAAAAACGATTTTTTTAAATTTATTAATTTGCTCGCAAACATCTGAATAATACTTAAAAACTAACTAAATTATTAAAAATACGGTAGCTATGCTCTCGTAGGGCCGAACTTTCTAGAATCTTCGGAAAAATGATGCAATTTTTTTTTTCCAGTAAATCATTTGAATTTTTTCCCGATTAAAAAAAAAAAAAAGGGCAAAAATATCATGAATCGATTAAATAATAATTTAAAATTTAAATTTTATTTCGTTTTTAATTATTTAAATTAGAAAATATATTTAAAAAAGATATTTAAAAAAAAAAAATAATTTCGATTGTTATGTATTTAATTAAATTTTTGTTATTTAGGAAAATTTATAGTAAACAAATAAATTTCTTTTTAAAATAAATAATTTTATTTTAATAAAGGTTCTTTTTTTTTTTAATAAATAAATTAAAATATATTTAAAAGTTTTATTAAAAAAAAAATAAAATAAAATAAAATAAAAAGTTTTAGAAAGTTTATTATTTAAAAAAAAATTAATTTTTTTTTTCTTTCGGTCACGTGTTTTTATTGTTTCCGAAAATTGACGAAGTTTAACGATTAGAAATTTCTATGAGGTCGTATTTGTCGAATCTTCTCGAAAAAAAAGAAATTTTTCTTATAGGAAATATTTTTGTGTTTTTCTCACATTCCCTGAAAAACTAATAAATTTTTTTTTTTCTAAACAAAATGGTAAGATAATTCATATATTTATATATTTATATATTTTTATTATTAATATCTTTTTTTTTATACGTAAATTATAATCGGTTTTATGTGAAATGATGCAATTTCATTTTTCTATGTTTGAATGAATTTGGGCAAATTTTTTTTTTTTTTTTTACAAAAATTAAGAAAAAATGATTTATTTATTTAATTTGCGTTTACATAAATCAAATTTTAAAGTCTATTTGGAACGTTTAATCGAAATTCATAAGGATTTGTTATAATTTTTCATAAATTCATTGATTAAATCTTTATAGAAAATTTTTTTGTTTGGGGAATAATTGAAAGCCACATGGCTTCTTAGCCGGTTAGCCATGATTTGTTTTTTCTCATCGTCAGGAAAATAATTATTTATTTATTAAATTCTTAGGCAGCAGCTGTAAAACCACAATTTGTACCAGCATTGAAAAGATTGGTTCCATTATTCGATAGAGTTTTAGTACAAAGAGCTGAAGCTGTTACAAAAACCAAAGGTGGAATTGTAATACCAGAAAAAGCTCAATCGAAAGTACTTCATGGTACTGTTGTAGCTGTCGGTCCAGGTTCTAGAAATCAAAATGGCGAATTCATACCTCTTGCCGTGAAAGTAGGAGATAAAGTTTTATTACCAGAGTACGGAGGCACAAAAGTCGAATTGGAAGAAAATAAAGAATTTCATCTTTTTAGAGAATCTGATATTTTGGCCAAAGTAGAATAGATTGTTATGTTTTTTTTTTTTTTTTCTTCTTTTTCATATTAATTTTTTTTTTTTTTTATCTTAATAAGAAACCATGTTGAGTAGTATCGATTAGGTTTATTAATTTTATTATTATTATTATTATTTGTAAGAAAGGAGACTGACTGAATGTTTAGTTATAATTTGATAAATAAAATCACACTACTTTAGGCTTGTATGTGACATTGGGAATTTATTCATAATTTTGTCACATATAAATCAGCCTTTTATTTCAAATTATAAATATGGTTTATTGTATTAGGCAAACATAATTTAAATTAAAATAAATTTTCAATTTTGTTTGTATTCAGTTTCTAATTTTTTTTTTTTTTAAATTAACAAAAGCTTTAACACAATAATTTTTTATAAATAATTATAACAATTTGATATTTTTTTTTTTTTCAAAAAGTGACTTAAATAAAAAAATAAATAAATAATATCGAATACATAACATAATAATACTAAAACAAAAATTATTAATCATTTTGACGACCTCTTATGACCTATAACTCGAAACTTTTTATTTTTAAATATGACTAAAATTCTTTTTCTAAACATGTCTTCCTACTTATTCCCACACACACACATAAAAAAAAAAAGGAAGAAAAAAGGGAACAAGGAAAACAACCCCTCCCCCCATAAAAAAAAACAATTAAGAAACAATATCATATATCATATATATATATTTATTTAAATTTAAAAATTTATTATTATAATATTATTATTAAAAAAAAATCCCTTTGTGTTAAATATTAATTTAAAAATAAAAAGGCAATAATACGTAATAATAATAATAATAATAATAAAGCCCGATTACATTAGATTATCGTTTATATATATATATAAAATAAACTCTACCAACAATTAATAATTTTTTTTTACTCTTTTCGTTATATATATATATATATATTTAAATATTACGATTTAACAATTTTTTTTCTTTTTTTTTGTTAGTCTTAAATAAAATTAAAATAATAATAATAATAATAATAAAACAATAATTAAAATATTAAAACAATAATTAAATGTTTAAATAAAATTTAAAGTTTAAAAAAAAAAATTATTAATATTTATAACAAAACAATTTTATTAATTTTTTTAAAACATAAAAAAACATAAAAAAAAATATAAAGGACGACAAAATTCAGACTCGTTAATAATTTTTCATTCGAAAATACATAATTTAAATAATAATAATAATAATAATAATAATATTAATAATATTAGTTATTATTATTTAGCTGCCTTTTAATACTCAACCGTTAGTTTCCTTTTTTTTATCTTATTTCCGTTATTTGTACCCATTTAATAATAGAAAAAAAAATTATCGATTTATTTATAATAATAATAATAATGATAATAATAATAATAATAAATACTATTTGAAGAAAAATTTGAGTCTTTAATTAAATTGTGACAATATTTTTTAATAAATATGTATATATATATATAAAACTTAACTAACTTTAACTTAAATTTTAAATTTTAAATAATAATAATAATAAAAACAACCTTAATGATTATTATAAATAAAGCAGCAGCAGCAGCAGCAGTAATAGTAGTAGTAGTAGCCAGCAGCAAAATCAGCAGCACCGTTTAATAAATTTGTGATTAAAAAAATTTTTTTTTTTTTGTAAATAATCGATCGGGTACTTGTTTTATAAAATTATGTTTTAGGCTAAAGGCAAACATACAATACCCGATACCCGTTCCTCTCCCTTTCCCTCCCCCACTTCCCTTATAAAAAAAAAATAAAAAGATTACGTACAACCCTTACCAAAAAAATTGACATTTTATAATTCGATTCGTTGAATTATCACCTACGACATAAAAATATCCCTCGAAAAATTTTTTTTTTAACTAATTACACGTTCGAATAATTAATTAATTAAAATGTCGGCCATTTTATTTTACGCGAACTAAAACTCACCGAGAGCAAAAAAAAAAAAAAAAAAAAAAAAAAAAAAAACAACCGAAATGAACAAAAAAACAAACAAACAAACAAAACTACAACGCCACTACGAAATTGACCAAAAAATATTAATAATAATAATATTATTAAATAATAAATAATAAAATTATTATTATTATTATTATTATTATTGCGACTTAAATTAATTGTCACGGTTCGTTTAAATTAAAATATGGCAACTTTACTTGAGAAAAATAAAATAAAATAAAAAAACTATTCGTTGTAGTTTCTAATAAAATAAAAAAATAAATAACGATAATAATAATAATAATAATAATAATAATAAATCAAATCGACGGTTTTCATAATAATTTTTCTTTTATACTAATAAACAGGCACTTTGGAAAGCGTTAGTACAAAAACAATTAAAAACATTTTTAAAAAAAAAAATATTAGAAGAGAATTTTTTAATAATATTTCAATCCTTCTCTCTCTCTCTCTCTCTCTTTTTCCCTCTCCTCCATCCCCTCTCTCTCTCTTTCACACATTTCATTATTTATTATTAATTTCTATCTAATGTTAATATTCCTATCATTTAAAAAAAAAAAAAAAAAACAAACTAATTTTTTATAGTTTTTAGCGATTAGAAAAATAAGGCGAAATTATTATTATTATTATTATTATTATTATTATTATTAAATCGTTGTTTAACTTATCGTTGTTAATTATTACTATTACTATTATTACTATTATTATTAGTTTTATTATTAATTCATCCTCTTCCTCTTCCTCTTCCTCCTCATCTTCCTCCTCCTCCTCCTTTTCTTAGCAGACGTTTTCCAGATCGTTATGTAAAATATTAAGCGATTGTTATAGAACTGATTGACTGATTGATTGATTGATTGTAGATCCCTGTATTATAATAGGGGGGGAGGAGAGGAAAAAAAGAAATTATAAGAAATTCAAAAGAATCGTGAAAACCCAACCTTAACATCCGTCTTCTTACCTTTCTTTACTGATACCACGGTTGAGATCTAACCCATCTGTACCTGACTCCAGCATCCGTACGGATTTTGATGGAAGCCGCTTCGGCGGCACGTACGGTTTCCTTAACGGATTGCATGAGATTTTGTGCGTTTCCAACGAGCATATCCGTTGCTTCTTGATCTTCTGCCGTGCCTGGGAAGGAAAAAATCACCCCCCACGAATAACGTTATTAAAAAAAAAAAAAAACAAAAACGGGTGTTTTTCATACAAACGCAAAGTGCTTTGACTACAACTACTCCTACTTTTTGTTCAGTGCTATCCTTTTACTTTTTATTCTTTACTTTTAAAGCCGACAGAAAAAAAAAAAAAACATTTAAAGCAAACGAATCCATTCTAACATGGATGATAGAAAAAAAAAATGGCCGCCACGTAGTACGACAAAAAAAAAATAAAAAGTAAAAAAATAACACTGAAACTACAATTCGCTACTGAAACTACATTTAAAAATTTACTACAATGATGCGATGCATTTAAACATGACAAAAACAACCAAACAAACAAACAAACAAACAAACAATAAGCAAGGATTCACTCACTTGCTCCTATCATGCATCCTGTAATGTAAAGAAGGGGAAAAAAAAAAAAAAAAACAAAAATTAATATAATAATAATGATAATGATAATGATGATGAGTTAAGAGCTAACCGTTAACATTTCAAAAAAAAAAAAAAAAAAAAAATCGAATAATTTTCTTTTCGATAATATCGTTCGACCGGAAGTATCGAATCCAAAAAAAAAAAAAAAAAATAATAATAATAATATTTTGATTTAAATTCATGCCGTCATGCAAAACAAAACCTCAGGGGAGGGAGGGGGGAGGGGGGAGGGCGGAAAAAAAAGAAATCCTTCTTTCATTCACCCTACAACCCAACAACCTAAAAGGAAAAAAATCTTTTTCTTTTGTTTGTTTCTTTGTTAATAACATTCAAACTCTCTCTTCGACCGAATAAATGAATGAATTAATGAATGAATGAATGAATGAAAATAAATAATGCAATAATTAATAATTACGTTAATAAAAAAAAATGCAAAAAAAAAAAAAATTTTCAAAATATTAAAATTAATCATTATTAATCATTAGCCGGAGTCAAAAAAAAAAAAAAAAAAAAAAATTTTTTTATGCAATCAAAAAACAAACAAACGTTTTCTTGCATAATGTAAATCAACGTCATAACAACAACAATCACAACAACCGAAAAAAAAAAAAAAAAAAATGTAACAACATAACAAATTTAAAATTTCCAGAAGAAAAAATTATCAAATTTTTTAATTATTGGAATGGAAGAAAAATTTTCTTTAAAATTGTTAATTTTTAAATTTTTGTGCGAGCCAAATGCAAAAAGGGGGGGGGGGAAAGAGGGGGGAGGGGGCGAAAGAAAAACAGGGAGAGAGAAGAAGACAAAAAAAATCTCGCAAAATCTTTTTTTTAAAAAAAAAAAAAAAAAAAAAAATTTTTTTTATACCCCCGATCAATTCTCCCATTTCCAGCCTCGGTAACGTTTCTGTTGGGAAAAAAAATTTTTCCAAAAATTAACTCGGTATGAATAAAAACTTTCTTTTTTCGTGAATGATAATAATAATAATAATAATAATAATGATAATAAAATATGATAAGACGTCTGATAACAAAATAAATAAATAAATTTTATGTCTTATTTTAGGTCTTCATACCTTGAGCTCCGAGCATCGTCGCTTTTACCGTCGATAAAATTTTCAATTGAGTTCCGATTGTCGGTATGCGTTCGCAAACTTGCAATAAATTCTGGAAAAAGAGAAAGAGAGAGTGAGTGAGAGTGAGAGAGATGGGGAAAAATTCCTGTGGGATTCCATAACTCACCGTTCTCATACGTTTATCCGTGCATTCTCGTGCCAATTCTTTCGCGAGTCTCGTCACTTCTTCGGATGCTTCTGCTATGGCCTTTGCCGTTGCTATCAAATCCCTTTTCGTTCCTCCTTCCCCCCTAACGAGTTGAGAGAGTTTACCCATGAGTAAAGCCATTTTTTTAGCGGCCGCGATTATTTCGTTGTCCTTCGACGACCACTGTTTGACTTCTTGATGTAAACCGTGAGCCGCAATCTTGTTTGAGAAACAAAAAAAAATTTTTTTTTATTAAAAATCCTCCCCCCATCTTGTTTTAATAAGAAAAAAAGTACCGAAACGTTACCATTATGGGTTGATTGGGTTGCGGAGCTTGTCTAAACATGTCATCTTCGTCATCCGTTTCTGGGGGCGGCGGTCTCGGGGGTGGATAATCACCAGGATACTCTCCGGGAAGTGGTGGTCTCGGCGGTGGTTGATCTATACAACATTCAAATTATTATTATCATTATCCGAATAAAATCGTTATAACCCGCCACATTGATTAATCACAAAATTCTCATGCAACTCAGTATCGACGTCGACATACGATTTCGACGCCAACTATTATTATTATTATTACCGTGATAAAAGCTTTTAGAAAAACTTACCTGTATCGCTATCGTACCATTCTTGCAAATGGTCACCTCTGTCGTAATAATCGTAATCGTCATAGACTCTCGGAAGCTGTGATTCTTTTATGCTAAGCCCAACTACATTATACCACACGCGCACACACACACAGAGAGAATGTGTGAATGATGACAAATATTAAAAAAAAAAAAAAAAAAAAAAAAAAAAAAAAAAAAAGCAAAAAAAACACTGATTTAAGCGCAATTAAAAAATTATTAGATGAAAAAAAAAAACAAATAAAATTTATTAATATTAATATTATTATTATTATTATTATTGTTAATAAATAATTGTTTGATTCAAATTTGTGCTGGTAGTGGTATACCATACTATACATATTTACATTAAAAAAAAAAAAAAAAAAATGTAAGCGAATAAAAAACTTTTCTTTTCTGTTATATTATTATTATTATTATTATTTGAACGACACCATTTTTTTTTTTTTTTTTTTTTGAAAATATTATTATTATTATTATTATTATTATTTTACCTTGTCCGTGATAGCCGACATTGAGTCCTGGATATTGACTGCTCGTGTAAACATCTAATAAAAAAAAAAGAATTAGGGAAAGTTTAATTATCGACGAATCTATTAAAAAAAATTTTTTCAAATCCCGAGGGATGATAAATAAATATACCGTTCAAGTTGAGACTGTTCATGTCTGGAGGCGGTGGTAAATCTGGAGTTGCCGTAACAGCCCATCTGACATCCCCGACGGCATTTAATAACTGGAAAAAAATTGTAATTTCGTTTAGGTTCCAGGTCGCCGCTGAATGTCCATGTTTCTACCCGGTCATGCGTGTATACTTACAGCCTTGTTAGATTCCCGCCAACGAGCAGCAGCATTGTAGTCGGTAGGATCAGCAGCAACGCATTTCGCATCCTGTACCATCGGAGTAAGATCTGACAAAACGGGAAAATAAAATGATGATTTTGATTTGTTTAAAATAAAAAAAGGGAATTAAATTATAAACTAAAATTTTACTCGATAAAACTTGATCGGAAGCCCTGTTGACTCTAGTAATAAAATTAGGATCCTCGGAATTGTCTGCTTCCTGTTTCGCAATCATCAAAACTCTGTTGGCCAATCTGGCTATGGCACTCGTATTATCGACCATTTTTTGCGGTTGATTCTTTCTTATGGCATCCTCGCAAAGAATCGTGTGCTTTTGCATTTGCTCTTCGGAAGCTTTTATGAATTCGCACGGGTCTATGGTCGTGTCGCAAAGGGTTCTCATTCTCTGAACCGAATCCGCATACTGAGCTCTCAAATTTTCAAAATGCTCGTGTGCAGCTTTTGATTCCGGGTAAGCCATTCTGATTCTTCCGGCGTTTATCAATTGAGGAGTTAAACTTTCCACCTAAACAATTAATTTTGATGTTACGTAACAACCATCGAACAAAATACCAAAGATCGGGGAGGGGGGGGGGCAAATTTACCTGATTTGACGATGTGAGAAGAGCTTCCGTCAATTTTTTATTTCCTCCGCTACCACCGGCAGCGACCATTCTTGCCGTTTTAGCTGCACGGTTGGAAAACTGCTCGAGGTTAAGAGCTTTATCCGCAAAGTTTTGTTCTCTGTGCGGAGTTCCCTCCGGTGCCAAAACTGCTTCGGTAAATTGTTTAAGGGGGGATGCAATGTCGATGAAATCTTCAACCACGCGATTTACCACAGCGTTTTGTATGCAGTTCTTCAATTCGTGCAATTTTTGTGACAGTGCTCTGTAATTACAAGACATTAATGTAACGCAAAGAAGGAAATATTTCATGTTCTTGAATTTAGAAAAAAGTTTAATAATTACCTGGCGACACTGTGAGCTTGAGGAGTATCACCCATTCCTTTGCGACATAAATCGCTCAGCTGCCTCGAAAGTATATCAACTTCGTCACATAAACCTAATATTTCCGCTTTTTGAACGCCCGGCAAACCTTCAGCAACCTTAAAATTTAAATGAATTAAAAATATATCAAACCCTTTCGAAACTCAAAGGTATAAATTTTCCTTTTTTATGTTTTAATGGTACCTTTTTTTGATCCTTAACAAAGGAAGCAAAATATTAAATACTCACAATTAGTTTTGTTTAACTTCAACTTAATTCTTATAAAGTTTAATTTGATAATTACAAACCTTTTTCCCTTCGTCGACAATCAGGGAGATGGCACGTTGACCCAATCCTCGGTCATCCCGTTCAGGATTGCTTAACCATCTTCTCGCTTGTTCCAATCTACCAGCAACCGTGTGAGCAGGCTGTTGAATTCCACTCTTGTCGACATTTTGCACAGCTCTGGCAACTCTCTGACACAAATCACCCAAACGATCTTGAATATTTCTTGATAAACCTTCGGCCTGGAAACAACAAAAAAAAAAAAAAAATTACTCTCGTAAAACTCAAAATACTTATGGTACGCAATAGTAGTAGTACCTGTGGAGTGGCTCCTTTCCCATCTTGTCGCAATTCGCACAGTGCGTCTGTCATGGTAGTTATGTCATCGACCATTTTCAATATGCTATCTCTATCTTGAGGAAGTGATCTTTCAGCCACTTTTGTAGCGTGATCCAATATTTGTCTCACGGATTTTTCACCGACTCCTCCCCTTAAAGCCAAGGGATCCTAAAAAAAAAAATTTAAAATCGAGATCATCAAAATAAGAATGTAATTTAACTCGGTGAGGGATGGGGGAAAAAAAACAAAATTCACCCTAAAAGTTAAATTACCTCCAACCAATCGTGTGCTCCTCTCATTTTCCCTTGTATGGCATTTTGACACTTTTTCATTACGGTAAGATTATCAGCATCCCATTCATCTTCATCGTAGGTGGTTAATTGCAAAACGCGGATTATTTCGTTTATCTCATCAGTCATTCTTTGTGCCAAGTAATTTCTGTTTTCTGCTGCTTCGTCGGCTCCTTTCCCTCCTGAATAAAAGAAGAAGAAGAAAAAATTAAACAATTCGCTTTAATTATGAATGAGATGTTGTTGAAAATGGGAATGGGAGTGGCAGCTTTAATTAAAATTAGGCAGCTTTCATATTTTTTCGACACAGAAGGGGGAATAATGAAACGTACCTTGGGAAACAATATGTATGTATATTTTCATTCCACATATTAAAATGGGAGTTAATGTCTTCACTTGTTCCAGACAACGAATTAATATTTCTCGATGAACCTGATGTGTCAATTCTTTTTCTCTGGCTCCAACTTCTCTCGAAACCTGGAAAAATTAACAAAATGTTTTTTAAACCCAAGAAAATCCAAGAAAATTGATCGTATCGAATGATTCATTTACCTTACTTAAACACGGACTTAAATCTTTTAAAAATTGTACCAAATCCTCCATGGTTTCCATGACTTCGGCAACGGCAAGGTAATCTAATACTTTTTTACATTCCCGTATGATTTTCCTAACTTCGGATTCGTCAAAGCACAAAAGCAACGAGGACGTTCCTTGAAGAATACCTCTCGAACCTTCGATTAATTTTTTCCTACAAATAACAATAATGTTTTCTTTTCAAAATGGCGGCTTCGCGAGGGAGGAAATACATCGACAACTACCAACCTTGCGGGACTCGAATATGGATCGACTTTAAGCATTGCCGATGCTTCTTCCAACAATCTGCTAGCTCCTTCGACTCTTTGCAAAGAGGCTGGCATATCTTGTTTAAGGATGGCATCATCGGAACTATTGATTGTTTCTTTACCGACTTTAACAAGATTGGCAACGGCCCGGCTAACGGCTTGCACGGGCCGTTCCAAATCTGGCATTGCATTTCCATCTTCTGCTTCTTCGTGTAGTATAACCAGTCTTGAGACCTAAAATAAAAAAGTAATTAAATGAGTTTTAAAAATAAAATTTAAATAAACCAAACAAACAAACAAACAAACAAACAAACAATGTCTGAACTTAAATATGAATTTGTAATGTTAAAAACGGTTTTTAATTACTCCTTTTTTTTTTTTTTTTTTTAAATAATTCTTTGAGGGTCATTCCAGTTTGAGCTTTCTATAATAATAAATTCCAATGAGGCTTAATGTGTAAACATTAAACAACAGAAATAGATTCTTATTACCAGCCAAATTAAAACAATCACCAACCAACCAACCAAAGTTCTCTTACTATTTTTCTGACTCATTCCCCCCCCCATTTTAATAATTGATTTTTTTTTTTTTTTCTGTTTCTTATTATTATTATTATTATTACCGAATGCTGTTTTTTTTTTTTTTTTGGCTTAAAATTGTTTTTTTTTTTGTTTTTATTTCTCTTTAAAATAAACTTCACAAACAAAAAATTTTTTTATTTAAAAAAAATAAAATGATTGAATCATTTTCAAAATGGCTGAACCAAAAATAAATCAAAAATTATTTTTCATACACATATATATTTAAATTTAAATTTAAATCGTTGTGAAACAAATTTTTTTTTATTATTTTATGAAATAAATTTAAATTCAAATAAAATCAATTGACTAATAAAAAACACAAAAAAAAAAAAAAAAAAATTATTATCTATTATTCACAATTAAGAACATCTTTTAATAGAATCTGATTCATCATGTAGTTACATATTATTATTATTATTATTATTATTAGGTGATTAATTCATTCATTTTTTTAAGAAGAAAAATTTTTTTTAATATTTTACACATTATTCCTCTCTCTCTCTCTCTCTCTTTTTTTTTTTAAATAACACAAAATGAATTTGGCACAAGTAACTATTTTTTTTTTTTTTTTTTGATTTCGACTTAATGGCCAAAAAAATTTATTTACCTCGGATTAAATCTAAATAAACAAACATGATGTAAAAAATTTAAAATTTTTTTTTACTATTCAAAATTATATTAATCTCATACAAATTTCATTATCAATATTTTGTAAATTTATCGCTAATGAAATAGAAAAATTTGGTTTTTTTTTTTTTAATTTGAATATATATGTGACATTTTCATCGAATTGATACTTTTTGTCTTATTCATCGAACCCACAACAATAATAATGTGGAAAAATTTTACAATCGATACAACAGATGACAATATTTAATTATATAAATAAATAAAATATTATTTTTTATAGACTGTGAAAACAGTTAAACACTTAATTTTATAAGTCAAATAATGATAATAAAAGTATTTTTTTAAAATTTATTATGTGTGGAATAAAATAAAGAGCATAAAATGTTTTCGTATTTTAATAACTCGATATTTATAATGAAAATTATGTAACGAAACAATAGTCAAATGTGAAAAAAACATAAATTCTAATTTAATTAAATTATTTTTAATTAAATATTTAATTATAATTTGTAAGAAATAACTAAATAGATTTTATTATTCAGTACTCATTCTAGGAATATATAAAGTAAAAAAAGAAAATTTAAGGTAGAATAATTTATTTTGTCAACAAAAAAAAAATTATTTTATTTATTTATGATAAGAATGAAATGATGCTCATGAGTGTGTGTGTGTGTGTGTGTGATGTTATTTTACCAAGAATATATTTATGTAATTCATTAAATATAACGTAATCATATTTTTTAAATAAATAGTAGGGGAAAAAATTCATAATCATTATCGTGAGGTAAATCAATAATTTTCAAAATGAAAAAAAAAAAAAAAAAAAAAAAATGAAATAAATGAATTTTTGACGATACCAAATAAGGCAAATTAACGGAGTTAAGAAATGACGTCACTCTATATTTAGCTTATCCGTGACGTATTTAGTTAACAATGAAACGAGAACCCGAGTACTGAATGAGAAACAACTGAATTTTTACTATGCATCTGTCTAAATTTTATTAAAAAAATTATTTAATTAATTATTTTTGAATTAAATAAATATTGTCTCGTCGAAGATATGGGAGAAATATAAGTTTTTTTAAAATTAAAAATAAAAATGAAAAGAAATGAAAGGGTCTTACGACAAACAAAGTTTTTTTCTTAAAAAAAATTTTTTCTGATTAATTACCTGCTGTGCGACTGGTTCTAAAATACTTTCTATTGTTTTTGTATGAAAAACCGGCATTTTAATAAATTAATAGGTAACTAAATTTAAAAAAAAATAATAATAATAATAAAAACAAAACAATAATTAAAAATAAATTTTTTTTGAAGAAAAAAAAAAAAAAAAAAAAAAACCTCAACACCGAGAAGATCACAAATAAACCATCACACTGTTTTTTAACTCGTTGTAAAAAGTGGAAGGAATGATTTAGATATAGAATCACGCTGCCTTCTTAATAACAAACCAAAAATTCCTTTTTCAAATTAAATTAACTTAATGAATATTATTCATCTTTTCAAAATTAATTGCATGATTTATTAATAATGTACTATATTAACTTTAATATTGATATAATTAATTTTCGAAATTATTTATATCAATTTAAATTTAAATAAATTTGTTTTATTAATTTATGTTGTTATGTATATAAATAAGAATATGTTTTACGTAAAGAATGGAAAGAATAAATTGCAATATTTTCATTTTAAATAGGGTAAAAAATTAAATGTTTTATTCATTCGGTTATATTTTTTGTTCTTTTCGATTAAATATTATCAATTTAATTTTCCCGCAAAATCAAATTTTAATTTTTAAAATCTCGTGCCACGTTTTAAATTAAGGAGGCAGTGATAGAAACATTGTAATGTTCTTGGAACTAATAGAATGTACGCTGACTCATTTTAACGTTTGTTTTCGAATAAAGTAGTATTAGTTTTGTGTTAGATTCTGTAATGAATTGATAAATAATTATTGGTAAGATAAATATCGTGATAATAGTTATTGTTTTTTTTTTTTTTATTTTGTTTTTGATTATTAAAATTATTTATTTGTGTATTTTTGATTTGACATTAAATAATAATAATAATAATATTGTTTTAAAAATTATCGTGTACTCATGGCGCCTTTGTCATTAACAGTTGATTGTCGGTGATTTGAATATATATATTTAATTGTGTAATACATGGATCATTAACGCTCAGACTTGTGAGTAAATAATTCAAATAATTTAACTATTTATTTATTTATTAATATTTTATAATTGTTTTAAATTAACGACTCTTATATATTCGAAGATTGTCATTAAAAGAAACAATATTGTGAAATTAAATTTTTAATCAATTTTTATTTAAATGTTTAATTAAAAGTATTTTAAATGTGTGTGTGTATGCGATTCCGATTCCGCCTTTTATTGACTTTTTATTAAATTAATATCAATAAGTTTTTATTTTTTTTTTTTTACAAATGAATTAAAATTTCTCGTTTTTATTAATAATAATAATAATAATAATATAAATCAAATAATTCGTTTGACAAATTATCAAAATTGGCATTTTTATTGAATATTTTTTTTTTAAAATTTTAATTTATAAATTTTGAATTATATCTAATCGTCTCATTCAAGTTGTACTTAAATTATAGCAAAAAATAATAATAATAATAATAGTGGTGGTAAAAGAGTAATGAATTCTTCAGAAAAAAAAAATTTTGCTGCGATTTTCATTTTTTTAAAAAAAAAAATTCACAATATTGTTTAAATCTGAATTAATCGAAATCATTTTTATGATAAATTTTGTAATCGATAAGATTTTGAAAGTGTGTATATATATATTCAATGCATAGACAGTTATTCAGTTAGTTAATCGCTTTTAATTTAACCTTGAATATTGTCAGGTAATTTGATAATCATAATAACATTTAAGTCATTTTGTTTTTTTTTTTTTTTTCGATTGTTTTGTTTTTTTTTTTTTTTTATTTCATTAAATATTTAATTATGACAACTAAAAACAAAAACAAAAAAATAAGTAATAGTATGAGAATGATAATTATCAAGTTAAAATATTAATTTTGTTGACTGTTGACTGCATTCGAGCGAGTGCACACCCATCTTATGATAGTTATTATATTTTATCGCATGCATAATTGGGTATAAATATTATTATCATATTAATTTTCAATTTATTCATTTCAATTTAAAAAAAAAAAAAATATGATTTCAAACAAATTAGGAAAATATTTTAGTAATTTATTATTGAATGCAATCACACAAACACACACACACACACACACACACACACACATAACTTATTTGATTTGAATTACTTTCCTGGGGATTTGATTTAGTCGAAAAAGATTTTTAAAAAAAAAATTGATGGTTAAAATTTAATTAAATGGAATCTTTATGATAGTTTTATAAAAACGGTTTCCCCCCCCCCTTTCCCCCCAATTGTAATTTCGTGTGCATAATGACAGATTTGGCACGTGACAAAAATTTTTCTTTCTTTTCTAAGGATCAACGCACCATGTTGGACACAACCCGACAGACAATTCGTATATACTCAATTATAAATCACTGCCCACGGTAAAAGGGTTGCTTGTCTGCCTGCCTGCATGCCTGCCTGCCTGCCTGCCTACCTACCCACGTTTTAAGTTAAATTTTTTTTCGGTTTGTTTACCTGACTGCCCACAACACAACCTGTAACGACTAAATTAACCGAAAAACCTAAAAGTGAGAGAGAGAAAAGTTTATTTAATTCATTCAAAGACGACGACACCTTAGACGTAAATTTTTATTTTTTCATCATAGCCGGAAAACAAATCAAAAGTTGTAACGAGAATTTTTTTTTTTTTTTTAATTTTTTAAATTTTAATTAACGAGAAAAAAAAAAAAAAAAAAAAAAAAATGGAAAAATTAATAGGAAACATATTTCGAATTTTATATTTTTTTTTTTTTTTGGCTCTCGTGGGTAAATGTACACAAATAAAAATAT